TTGGGGGGGGGGGGAAAAACTTTTTTGGGTTTTTTCCTGCTGGGTTTTTTTTTGGGGTTTTTGGTAAAAATTACTTTTTTTTTGGGTTGGGGTTTAAAAAAAATTTTTTTTGGGTTGGCCCCTTTTTTTTGGTTGGTGTTTTTTTGGGCCCTTTGCCCCGGGGCCCCCCCTGCATTCTTTTTTTAAGGTTTAAAAACCCATAGAAAATATCTTAAAATAACACCTTTAAAAAACCAAATAGAAATATCATTATAATACAGGGCCTTTAGAAAACAACATAAACAATTTCTTAATAACAGGGCCTTTTAAAAGCACAACATAGAAATTAAAAAAAATATTTCAGGGCCTTCGAAAGCCAACCCCTTTTTTTTTTACAAATTTTAAAAAATTTTTTTGCGGTTTTAAATCACACAAAACATTTTTTCAAAAAAAAACTTTTTCTTGAAAAAACAAACAAAAATATCATTAATTATTACCCAAAGGCCTTTTTTTAACCCCTTTTAATTACATTACCTTTTAAGTTCTAAAGCCCCCCAGGGGAACATTAAATTTTTTCAAATTCAAAGCCCAAATTTTTTTATCAGGGGTAAAACAAACCCCTTTAGAATTTTCAAAGATTAAGTCAAAATTTTACCCCCCAAAAATTCCTTTTTTTGTAACAAAGTGGTTTTGTTGTTTTTGGTTTTTGTCCCCTTATAAAAATTTATTCTCCCCTGCTTTGAAAAAAACCCAGGCCTAAAACCCCAGGTTTTTTTTTTTTTAAAAAAATTTTTTTTTGGGGGGCCCTTGCCCTGAAGCTCCCCCATTCCCCCCAAAAATTCTTTTTTTTTTTTTTTTATTATTTTTTTTTTAAATAACTTTAATATATACAGGGCCTTCAGAAAGCACAACATAGAACATATACGTTACTATATACAGGGCCTTCAGAAAGCACAACATAGAACATATACATTACTATATACAGGGCCTTCAGAAAGCACAACATAGAACATATACATTAATATATACAGCGCCTTCAGAAAGCACAACATAGAACATATACATTAATATATACAGCGCCTTCAGAAAGCACAACATAGAACATATACATTAATATATACAGCGCCTTCAGAAAGCACAACATAGAAAATATACATTACTATATACAGGGCCTTCAGAAAGCACAACATAGAACATATACATTACTATATACAGGGCCTTCAGAAAGCACAACATAGAACATATACATTAATATATACAGGGCCTTCAGAAAGCACAACATAGAACATATACATTAATATATACAGGGCCTTCAGAAAGTATTCACACCCCTCAACTTTTTCCATTTTTTATTGTGTTACAAAGTGGGTTTAAAATTGATTTAATTGTCGTTTTGTGTCAATTATCTACACAAAACACTCTGTAATGTCAAAGTGGAAGAAACATTTGAACATTTGTAAAAACAAATCAAACAAACGTATCTTGATTACATAACTATTCACACCAGAGTCAATACATGTTAGAATCCCCTTTGGCAGCGATTACAGCTGTGAGTCTTTCTGGGAAAGTCTCTAAGAGCGTTCCACTCCTGGATTGGGCAAGCCGATTATTATTTTCAAAATTCTTAAAGCTCTGTCAAATTGGTTGTTGATCATTGCTAAACAAATCTTTTTCAGGTCTTGCCATAGATTTTCAAGCAGATTTAAGTCAAAACTGTAACTCGGCCACTCAGGAACATTCACTGTTTTCTTGGTAAGCAACTCCAGTGTAGATTTGGCCTTGTGTTTTAGGTTATTGTCCTGCTGAAAGGTGAATTCATCTCCCAGTGTCTGTTGGAAAGCAGACTGAACCAGGTTTTCCTCCAGGATTCTGCCTGTGCTGAGCTCCATTCAATTTCTTTTTATTATAAAAAAATTCCTAGTCCTTGCCGATGACAAGCATACCCATAACATGATGCAGCCACCACCATGCTTGAAAATATGAAGAGTGGTACTCAGTGATGTGTTGTATTTGTCCCAAACATAACACTTTTTATTCAGGATATAAACTTCATTTGTACAGTTTTACTTTTGTATTTATTATGGATCCCCATTAGCTGCTGCCAAGGCTAAATTAAGGCAGTTATACAATTTAAAAACATACTTTAGTGACTTATTGCCATAGGGCAGCGCACAATTGGCCCAGCGTCGTCCGGGTTTGGCCGGTGTAGGCCGTCATTGTAAATAAGAATTTGTTCTTAACTGAAAAGCCTAGTTAAATAAAGGTTAAAAAATATATATATTTGTATTCTGTACAGGCTTCCTTCTTTTCACTCTGTCATTTAGGGTAGTATTGTGGAGTAACTACAATGTCGTTCATCCATCCTCAGTTTTCTCCTATTTCAGCCATTAACCTTTTCACATGTGAGTTCCAAATACAGTTGAAGTCAGAAGTTTACATACACTTAGGTTGGAGTCATTAACACTTGTTTTTCAACCACCACAAATTTCTTGTTAAACTATAGTTTTGGCAAGTCGGTTAGGACATCTACTTTGTGCATGACACAAGTAATTTTTCCAACAATTGTTTACAGACAGATTATTTCACTTATAATTCACTGTATCACAATTCCAGTGGGTCAGAAGTTTACATACACTAAGTTGACAGTGCCTTTAAACAGCTTGGAAAATTACAGAAAATGATGCCATGGCTTTAGAAGCTTCTGATAGGCTAATTGACATAATTTGAGTCAATTGGAGGTGTACCTGTGGATGTATTTCAAGGCCTACCTTCAAACTCAGTGCCTCTTTGCTTGACATCATGGGAAAATCAAAAGAAATCAGCCAAGACCTCAGAAAAAAAATTGTAGACCTCCACAAGTCTGGTTCATCCTTGGGAGCAATTTCCAAACGCCTGAAGGTACCACGTTCATCTGTACAAACAATAGTACGCAAGTATGTCAGCTGGTAGAGCACGGCGCTTGTAACGCCAAGGTAGTGGGTTCGATCCCCGGGACCACCCATACACAAAAATGTATGCATGCATGACTGTAAGTCGCTTTGGATAAAAGCGTCTGCTAAATGGCATATTATTATTATTATAAGTATAAACACCATGGGACCACGCAGCCGTCATACCGCTCAGGAAGGAGACGCGTTCTGTCTCCTAGAGATGAACGTACTTTGGTGCGAAAAGTGCAAATCAATCCCAGAATAACAGCAAAGAACCTTGTGAAGATGCTAGAGGAAACAGGTATAAAAGTATCTATATCCACAGTAAAACGGGTCCTATATCGACATAACCTGAAAGGCCGCTCAGCAAGGAAGAAGCCACTACTCCAAAACCGCCATAGAAAAGCCAGACCACGGTTTGCAACTGCACATGGGGACAAAGATCGTACATTTTGGAGAACTGTCCTCTGGTCTGATGAAACAAAAATAGAACTGTTTGGCCATAATGACCATCGTTATATTTGGAGGAAAAGGGGGGATGCTTGCAAGCCGAAGAACACCATCCCAACCGTGAAGCAAGGGGGTGGCAGCATCATGCTGTGGGGGTGCTTTGCTGCAGGAGGGACTGGTGCACTTCACAAAATAGATGGCATCATGAGGAAGGAAAATTATGTGGATATATTGAAGCAACATCTCAAGACATCAGTCAGGAAGTTAAAGCTTGGTCGCAAATGGGTCTTCCAAATGGACAATGACCACAAGCATACTTCCAAAGTTGTGGCAAAATGGCTTAAGGACAACAAAGTCAAGGTATTGGAGTGGCCATCACAAAGCCCTGACCTCAATCCTATAGAAAATATGTGGGCAGAACTGAAAAAGCGTGTGCGAGCAAGGAGGTCTACAAACCTGACTCAGTTACACCAGCTCTGTCAGGAGGAATGGGCCAAAATTCACCAAACTTATTGTGGGAAGCTTGTGGAAGGCTACCTGAAACGTTTGACCCAAGTTAAACAATTTAAAGGCAATGCTACTAAATACTAATTGAGTGTATGTAAACTTCTGACCCACTGGGAATGTGATGAAAGAAATAAAAGCTGAAATAAATCACTCTCTACTATTATTCTGACATTTCACATTCTTAAAATAAAGTGGTGATCCTAACTGACCTAAGACAGGGTATTTTTACTAGTGTATTTGGCTAAGGTGTATTGTAAACTTCCGACTTCAACTGTATCTCTAACGTTCGCCCCAGTGTGAGTTGTTTTATGCGACATCAGAATGCGATTATTACGGAACAGGACATTTAACACGCGCTGCCTGCTAATTATCTATAAGCTGTTTCAACTTGTCAATTTAAAATTATTTTCTAACAAGTTTTATTTTCTAACAGTTTGAACTGAGGTGTGTTCCGCCTCCTCATTGAAGTAACCCATTTCACTGTTGCGGGCAATTTATGTTTGAGGCTTTACTGAGCCGGACAAACTCCTCTCTTCGAGGAGAGCCCAAGCACTTCCCCAGTGTTTCCGCAGATCAACATTTCCCCCTTGGCACATTTTCTGGCCGGCGCTCGCTTTTCCTTCATTGTTGTGTTCCTTAAACTTTGGACATGTTCCTATCAAAGGAAGTGCCTTGTCTTCTGTATATCGTGTTTCTACTGTAGCATACAGTATGGATTTATGGAGCATAATGTATTTACAGTTTTATTCACATGTTTTCATGTACTGGTGACAAATAATGCATTCCGATTATTGCATAGATTGTAATGGACACCTACGATGTGCGTACGCTGCAGGGACCACTGTAGAATGATCACACCTGTTTGTTGGTATGTGTGAAAAGGTTAAAACTCAAACTGTTTTAAAGTCACCATTGGCCTCATGGTGAAATCCCTGAGCAGTTTCCTTCCTCTCCGGTAACTGAGTTAGGAAGGATGCCTTGATCTTTGTAGTGACTGGGTGTATTGATACACCATCCAAAGTGTAATTAAGGGATATGCTCAAAGGGATATTCCGGGCCTTGCACACACCATATCAGGGTCCATATCATAATATATCATATATAACATTACATATATAACATAATATATACCTGGTCTCGTACGGCCCTGCAGAACACCATATCAGGGTCCATCCCTTCCTGACTGTACAGACTGACCTGAGACAGTCTACCTCTCAAGACTGACCCCTTTATCATGTAGACCTGGGTTATATAGGGCACGTTCCATAGACCACTACAGAGATAGAGAACATATAGAATATATAGGGTTATATAGAGAACATATAATATTATACCTCAGGGTTATATAGGAACCCTTGAATATATAGGTTTTAGGAACATATATTTACAGGTTTATAAAGACTCTGTTATGGGTTTTGGCCCTTTGGTCTTCCTCTTTGGGTTTTCGGCCCCGTTCCTCTGGGTTTCTGGACTTTTTATGGTTTATGGAACCTCTTTCTTCGGGTTATTGCCCATTGTTCTTGGGTTTTGGCCCTTACCTCTTCGGTTTCTGGCCCTTTTTCGGGTTCTCTGCGCCCCTCTCCTTCTCGGGTTTTCTCGCGCCCTGTCCTCTTCTCGGGTTCTTGCGCCCCTTTCTCTTATGGGTTATCTTGGCCCCTTACTATTCGGGTTTTGGCTGTTCCTATGGGTTCTGACCCCTTTTTTGGGTTTTGGCCCTTGTTTGGGTTTTGGCCCCCCCCTTTTTGGGTTTTGGCCCCTTTTTTGGGGGTTTGGCCCCCCCCTTGGTTTTTTTGGGTTTTGGCCCCTTTTTTGGGTTTTGGCCCCCCCCCCCTTAGGGTTTTGGTTTTTTGGGTTTTGGCCCCCCCCGTTTGGGTTTTTGGCCCCTTTCTTTGGGGTTTTTGGCCCCCCCCCCCTTTTGGTTTTGGCCCCCTTGTTTGGGTTTTGGCCCCCCCCGTTTGGGTTTTGGCCCTTTTGCCCCCCCCCCTTTTTGGGGTTTTGGGCTGTTTTTGGGTTTTTGGGTTACCCCCCTTTTTTGGGTTTTAGAAAATTTTTTGGGTTTTGGCCCCCCCTTAAATTTTTGGGTTTACATTTACATTTTATCTTTCAGACGTTTTTCCAAGCGACTTACAGAGCATTTTTGGGTTAAATGCCTGCTTAAGGGCACTTCGACGATTTTTTTCACCTAGGCGGCTCGGGTTTAAAACCCGCGCCTTCGTTCTGGCACAACCTCTTACCCCACTCTCCTCCCCCCAGAAAATTATAATTTGGGGTTTTTGGCTCTTATTTTGGGTTTTGGAAAATTTTTTGGGTTTTGGCCTTTTTTGGTTTATGGCCCCCTGTTTTGGGTTTTTGGGAAAATCTGTTTCTGGGGTTTTAAGAACATCTAGTAATTTGGGTTTTAGGAAAATCTGTTTGGGTTTTAAGCATTTTTTGGTTTTAAAAACCCTTTTTTTTTGGGGTTTTGGCCCTTTTTTGGGGTTTTGGAAATTTTTTGGGTTTTTGGCCCCCCCCAATTTGGTTTTTAGGCCCCCTTTTTTGGTTTATGGCCCCCCCTTTTCTGGGTTTTTGGCCCCTTTTTTGGTTTTGGCCCCTTGCCCTTGGTTTTTGGCCCCCCCCCCCTTTTTGGTTTTTGGCCCCTTTTTGGGTTTTGGCCCCCTTTTGGGGTTTTTGGCCCCCCCTTCTTTGTTTTCCCCCCCCCGCTTTGGGGTTTTGGTGTTTTTTGGGGTTTTTGGCCCTTTCCCCCTTGGGGTTTTTGGCCCCCCTTTTTTGTGTTTTTGGCCCCTTGTTTGGGTTTTTGGCCCCCGTTTTGGGTTTGGCCCCCTTTTCTGGGTTGTTGGCCCCCCCCCCTTTTTGGGTTTTGGCCCCCCTTGTTGGGGTTTTGGCCCCTTTTCCTTGGGTTTTGGCCCTTGTTAGGTTTTAGCCCCCCCGTTTGGTTTTGGCCCCCTTTTTTTTTTTGGGTTTTGGCTTTTTGGGTTTTGGCATTGTTTGGGTTTTGGCCCCTTGTTTAGGGGGTTATGGCCCCCCTTAAAAAAATTGGGGTTTTGGTCTTTTTGGGTTTTGGCCCCCCTTTTTTTGGGTTTTTTTGGGTTCCCCCCCGTTTGGGTTTTGGCCCCCCCTTTTTGGGTTTTTTGGCCCCCCCCTTTTTTGGGGTTTTCCCCCTTTTTTGTCTTTGCCGCCCTCTTTCCCCCCCTTGGGGCTTTAGGTTTCCTTCGGTTTTTTTTCCCCTTGGTCGGGGATTGCGGCGCCTTTTGGGGCTGGGCCCCCGCTCTTCCCAAAGCTACCCGCCGCCCCGAACATTATAATATATAGGGTTATTAAAACTATATTAGGGTTATTGGCATCTATAATTTTGGGTTAATAGAGAACTTATAATATATAGGGGTTTAAGAGAACATTAGTTAATAGGGTTATAAGAGAAAATTTGTTTATAGGGTTATATGGAACTCTAGTATATTAGGGGTTTATAGAAACTCATATATATGGGTTAATGGAACATTGAAATTTGGGGTTTTATGGAAAAAATCTTAAACCGGGTTTCTAAAACCTTGTTGGGGGGTTTCCAGCCCTTTTTTGGTTTTGGCCCCTTTTAATAGGGTTTTGGCCCCCCCCTTGTTTGGGGTTTATTGGCCCCCCCTTTTTGGGTTTTTGCCCCTTTTTTGGGTTTTGGCTGTTGGTTTTGGCTTGTTTGGGTTTTTTGGCCCCTTGTATTGGGTTATTTGGCTTGTTTTGGTTAATTGGCTTGCTTTGGGTTTTAGAGAAATCATAATATATAGGGAAAAATATAGAATTATAGGGTTTTATAAGAACATATAAATATATAGGGTTTTATAGAAACATCTATAATATATAGGGTTATTGAGAACATTATAATATATAGGGTTTTTATAAGAACATATATAATTTTATAGGGTTATTATATTGGGTTACATATAGAATATATAGGGTTATATAGAGAACATATAATATATAGGGTTATATAGAGAACATATATAATTATTAGGGTTATATACATTTACATTTTAGTCATTTAGCAGACGCTCTTATCCAGAGCGACTTACAGGAGCATTTAGAGTTAAGTGCACTTCGACAGATTTTTCACCTAGTCGGCTCGGGGATTAGAACCAGCGACCTTTCGGATACTGGCACAACGCTCTTACCCACTAAGCTACCTGCCGCCCAAGAACATATAGAATATATAGGGTTATATAGAGAACATCTAGTATATATAGGGTTATATAGAGAACATATATAATATATAGGGTTATATAGAGAACATATATAATATATAGGGTTATATAGAGAACATCTATAATATATAGGGTTATATAGAGAACATCTAGTATATATATAGGGTTATATAGAGAACATATATAATATATAAGGTTTTATAGAGAACATCTAGTACAGTGGGGAAAAAAGTATTTAGTCAGCCACCAATTATGCAAGTTCTCCCACTTAAAAAGATGAGAGAGGCCTGTAATTTTCATCATAGGTACACGTCAACTATGACAGACAAATTGAGATTTTTTTTTCTCCAGAAAATCACATTGTAGGATTTTTTATGAATTTATTTGCAAATTATGGTGGAAAATAAGTATTTGGTCACCTACAAACAAGCAAGATTTCTGGCTCTCACAGACCTGAAACGTCTTCTTTAAGAGGCTCCTCTGTCCTCCACTCGTTACCTGTATTAATGGCACCGGTTTGAACTTGTTATCAGTATAAAAGACACCTGTCCACAACCTCAAACAGTCACACTCCAAACTCCACTATGGCCAAGACCAAAGAGCTGTCAAAGGAACCAGAAACAAAATTGTAGACCTGCACCAGGCTGGGAAGACTGCATCTGCAATAGGTAAGCAGCTTGGTTTGAAGAAATCAACTGTGGGAGCAATTATTAGGAAATGGAAGACATACAAGACCACTGATAATCTCCCTCGATCTGGGGCTCCACGCAAGATCTCACCCCGTGGGGTCAAAATGATCACAAGAACGGTGAGCAAAAATCCCAGAACCACACAGGGGGACCTAGTGAATGACCTGCAGAGAGCTGGGACCAAAGTAACAAAGCCTACCAGTAACACACTACGCCGCCAGGGACTCAAATCCTGCAGTGCCAGACATGTCCCCCTGCTTAAGCCAGTACATGTCCAGGCCCGTCTGAAGTTTGCTAGAGTGCATTTGGATGATCCAGAAGAGGATTGGGAGAATATCATATGGTCAGATGAAACCAAAATATAACTTTTTGGTAAAAACTCAACTCGTCGTGTTTGGAGGACAAAGAATGCTGAGTTGCATCCAAAGAACACCATACCTACTGTGAAGCATGGGGGTGGAAACATCATGCTTTGGGGCTGTTTTTCTGCAAAGGGACCAGGACGACTGATCCGTGTAAAGGAAAGAATGAATGGGGCCATGTATCGTGAGATTTTGAGTGAAAACCTCCTTCCATCAGCAAGGGCATTGAAGATGAAACGTGGCTGGGTCTTTCAGGATGACAATGATCCCAAACACACCGCCCGGGCAACAAAGGAGTGGCTTCGTAAGAAGCATTTCAAGGTCCTGGAGTGGCCTAGCCAGTCTCCAGATCTCAACCCCATAGAAAATCTTTGGAGGGAGTTGAAAGTCTGTGTTGCCCAGCGACAGCCCCAAAACATCACTGCTCTAGAGGAGATCTGCATGGAGGAATGGGCCAAAATACCAGCAACAGTGTGTGAAAACCTTGTGAAGACTTACAGAAAACGTTTGACCTGTGTCATTGCCAACAAAGGCTATATAACAAAGTATTGAGAAACTTTTGTTATTGACCAAATACTTATTTTCCACCATAATTTGGGCCAATTGTGCGCCGCCCCATGGGTCTCCCGGTCGCGGCCGCCTACGACAGAGCCTGGATTCGAACCAGGATCTCTAGTGGCACAATGCGATGCAGCGCCTTAGACCACTGCGCCACTCGGGAGGCGTTATATAGAGAACAGATATAATATATAGGTTATATAGAGAACATAAATAATATATAGGGTTATATATAGAGAACATATATAATATATAGGGTTATATAGAGAACATGTATAATATATAGGGTTATATAGAGAACATATATAATATATAGGGTTATATAGAGAACATATATAATATATAGGGTTATATATAGAGAACATATACGTATATAGAGAACCATTATAATATATCGGTTACTATAGGAATATTATAATAATAGGGTTATTAGAGAACATATATAATATATTTGATTTATTTTTTTTTCTATGGGATCCCCATTACTCTTCTGGGGTCCAGCAAAATTAAGGCAGTTATACATTTAAAAAACCATTAACAATACATTCATAACAGATTCACAAACATATTAATGTGTGCCCTCAGGCCTCTACTCTACTACCACATATCTACAACACAAAATCCATGTGTACATGTGTGTATAGTGCGTATGTTATCGTGTGTTTGTATGCATGTGTCTATGTTTGTGTTGCTTCACAGTCCCCGCTGTTCCAGAAGGTGTATTTTATCTGTTTTTTTAAATCTAATTTTACTGCTGTTCCAGAAGGTGTATTTTATCTGTTTTTTAAATCTAATTTTACTGCTGTTCCATAAGGTGTATTTTATCTGTTTTTTAAATCTAATTTTACTGCTGTTCCAGAAGGTGTATTTATCTGTTTGTTAAATCTAATTTACTGCTGTTCCAGAAGGTGTATTTTATCTGTTTTTTAAATCTAATTTTACTGCTGTTCCAGAAGGTGTATTTTATCTGTTTTTTTTAACATCTAATTTTTACTGCTGTTCCATAAGGTGTATTTTATCTGTTTTTTAAATCTAATTTTACTGCTGTTCCATAAGGTGTATTTTATCTGTTTTTTAAATCTAATTTTACTGCTGTTCCAGAAGGTGTATTTTATCTGTTTTTTAAATCTAATTTTACTGCTGTTCCAGAAGGTGTATTTTATCTGTTTTTTAAATCTAATTTTACTGCTGTTCCAGAAGGTGTATTTTATCTGTTTTTTAAATCTAATTTACTGCTGTTCCATAAGGTGTATTTTATCTGTTTTTTAAATCTAATTTTACTGCTGTTCCAGAAGGTGTATTTTATCTGTTTTTTAAATCTAATTTTACTGCTGTTCCAGAAGGTGTACAGTCGTATGAAAAAGTTTGGGCCCCTCTGAGGCTGCATGATCATTGACTCTGTCGTCACAGAAAATGATCACAGTGGCATGCCATTCATTTTCTAATAAAAGCTGAGTACTGGGGTATTGTCCAGACAAAGATTTTTAGTGTAGCAATATTAAGTTGTATGAAATTAAATCAGATGTGAAAAATAGGCTATGCTAAAATTTGGGCACCCTTGTCATTCTGTTGATTTGAATACCTGTAACTACTTAGCACTGATTAATTGGAACACACAATTGGTTTGGTGAGCTCATTAAGCCTTGAACTTCATAGACAAGTGCATCCAATCATGAGAAAAGGTACTTAAGGTGGCCAATTGCAAGTTGTTGTTCTCTTTGACTCTCCTCTGAAGAGTGGCAACATGGGGGCCTCAAAACAACTCTCAAATGATCTGAAAAAAAAAGATTGTTCAACATTATGGTTTAGGGGAAGGCTACAAAAAGCTATCGCAGAGATGTAAGCTGTCAGTGTCCACTGTGAGGAACATAGTGAGGAAATGGAAGACCACAGGCACAGTTCTTGTTAAGGCCAGAAGTGGCAGGCCAAGTAAAATATCGGAGAGGCAAAGGCGAAGGATGGTGAGAACGGTCAAAAACAGCCCACAGACCACCTCCAAAGACCTACAACATCATCTTGCTGCAGATGGTGTCACTGTGCATCGTTCAACAATTCAGCGCACTTTGCACAAGGAGAAGCTGTACTGGAGAGTGATGCGAAAGAAGCCTTTTCTGCACACACGCCACAAACAGAGTCGCTTGAGGTATGCAAACGCACATTTGGACAAGCCAGCTTCATTTTGGAATAAGGTGCTGTGGACTGATGAAACAAATATTTAGTTATTTGGTCATAACAAGGGGCGTTATGCATGGCGGCAAAAGAACACAGCGTTCCAAGAAAAACACTTGCTACCCACAGTAACATTTGGTGGGGGTTCCATCATGCTGTGGGGCTGTGTGGCCAGTGCCGGTACTGGGAATCCTGTTAAAGTTGAGGGTCGCATGGATTCCACTCAATATCAGCAGATTCTTGGGAATAATGTTGAAGAATCAGTCACAAAGTTGAAGTTACGCCGGGGCTGGATATTTCAACAAGACAACGACCCAAAACACTGCTCAAAATCTACCCGGGCATTTATGCAGAGGAACAAGTACAATGTTCTGGAATGGCCATCCCAGTCCCCAGACCTGAATATCGTTGAGAATCTGTGGGATGATTTGAAGCGGGCTGTCCATGCTCGGCAACCATCAAACCTAACTGAAGTGGAGATGTTTTGTAAGGAGGAATGGTCCAAAATGCCTTCATCCAGAATCCAGACACTCATTAGAGGCTATAGGAAGCGTCTAGAGGCTGTTATTTTAGCAAAAGGAGGCTCTACTAAATATTGATGTGATTTTTCTGTTGGGGTGCCCAAATTTATGCACCTGTCTAATTTTGTTTTGATGCATATTGCAAGTTTTCTGTTAATCCAATAAACCTCATTTCACTACTGAAATATGACTGTGTCCATCAGTTATTTGATAGATCAAAATGAAATTGCTGATCCAAACACCCAATTATTTATAAATGGAAATCATGGAAATTGTCAGGGGTGCCCAAACGTTTTCATACGACTCTATTTTTCTCTGTTTATTAAATCTTATTTTACTGCTGGCATGAGTTACCTGATGTGGAATAGAGTTCCATGTAGTCATGGCTCTATGTAGTACTGTGGGCCTCCCATAGTCTGTTCTGGACTTGGGGACTGTGAAGAGACCTCTGGTGGCATGTCTTATGGGGTATGCATGGGTGTCTGAGCTGTGTTCATTCAACATGTCAATACCTCTCACAAATACAAGTAGAGATTAAGTCAATCTCTCCTCCACTTTGAACCAGGAGAGATTGACATGCATATTATTAATGTTAGCTCTCTGTGTACATCCAAGGGCCAGCCGTGCTGCCCTGTTCTGGGCCAATTGCAATTTTCCTAAGTCCCTTTTTGTGGCACCTGACCACACGACTGAACAGTAGTCCAGGTGCAACAAAACTAGGGCCTGTAGGACCTGCCTTGTTGATAGTGCTGTTAAGAAGGTAGAGCAACGCTTTATTATGGACAGACTTCTCCCCATCTTAGCTACTGTTGTATCAATATGTTTTGACCATAATAGTTTAGAATCCAGAGTTACTCCAGGCAATTTACTCTCCTCAACTTGTTCAATTTCCACATTATTTATTACAAGATTTAGTTGAGGTTTAGGGTTTAGTGAATGATTTGTCCCAAATACAATGCTTTTAGTTTTTGAAATATTTAGGACTAACTTATTCCTTGCCACCCACTCTGAAACTAACTGCAGCTCTTTAAGTGTTGGTGTCATTTCAGTCATTGTTGTATCTGACGTGTATAGTGTTGAGTCATCCACATACATAGACACACTGGCTTTACTCAAGGCCAGTGGCATGTCGTTAGTAAAGATTTAAAAAAGTAAGGGGCCTAGACAGCTGCCCTGGGGAATTCCTGATTCTACCTGGATTATGTTGGAGAGGCTTCCATTAATGAACACCCTCTGTGTTCTGTTAGACAGGTAACTCTTTATCCACATTATAGCAGGGGGTGTAAAGCCATAACACATACGTCTTTCCATCAGCAGACTATGATTGATAATGTCAAAAGCCGCACTGAAGTCTAACAAAACAGCCCCCACAATCATTTTATCATAAATTATCATAAATTTCTATATAAGGTTATACAGAGAACATATATAATATATAGAGTTATATAGAGAACATATATAATATATAGGATTATATAGGGTTAACATATATAATATATAGGGTTATATAGAGAACATATATAATATATAGGATTATATAGAGAACATATATAATATATAGGGTTATATAGAGAACATATATAATATATAGGGTTATATGGAGAACATATAGAATATATAGGGTTATATAGAGAACATATAGAATATATAGGGTTGTATAGAGAACATATATAATATATAGGGTTATATAGAGAACATCTAGTATATATAGGGTTATATAGAGAACATCTATAATATATATGGTTATATTGGGTTAACATCTATAATATATAGGGTTATATAGAGAACATATAGAATATATAGGGTTATATAGAGAACATATAGAATATATAGGGTTGTATAGGGTTAACATATATAATATATAGGGTTATATAGAGAACATATATAATATATAGGGTTATATAGAGAACATCTAGTATATATAGGGTTATACAGAGAACATATATAATATATAGGATTATATAGAGAACATATATAATATATAGGGTTGTATCGAGAACATATATAATATATAGGGTTATATAAAGAACATCTAGTATATATAGGGTTATATAGAGAACATATATAATATATAGGGTTGTATAGAGAACATATATAATATATAGGGTTATATAGAGAACATCTAGTATATATAGGGTTATATAGAGAACATATATAATATATAGGGTTATATAGAGAACATCTATAATATATAGGGTTATATTGGGTTAACATATAATATATAGGGTTATATAGAGAACATATATAATATATAGGGTTATATAGAGAACATCTATAATATATAGGGTTATATAGAGAACATATAGAATGTATAGGGTTATATAGAGAACATATAGAATGTATAGGGTTAACATATAGAATATACTCACACTCTCTTGCCCTGCACGATGTCAATGTAGTCTTCAGATCGAGAGTAGAACCCCTCAGGACTCAGAGCTCCCCAGAAGTTAGACCACAGTTTCCCATGTCTGGACAACATGGGGGCTATCACTGGCCTGGAGATAAAGACAGAGGGTCAGATGGACCATACTATCACTGGCCTGGAGATAAAGACAGAGGGTTAGATGGACCATACTATCACTGGCCTGGAGATAAAGACAGAGGGTTAGATGGACCATACTATCACTGGCCTGGAGATAAAGACAGAGGGTTAGATGGACCATACCATCACTGGCCTGGAGATAAAGACAGAGGGTTAGATGGACCATACCATCACTGGCCTGGAGATAAAGACAGAGGGTTAACCATACCATCACTGGCCTGGAGATAAAGACAGAGGGTTAGATGGACCATACCATCACTGGCCTGGAGATAAAGACAGAGGGTTAGATGGACCATACCATCACTGGCCTGGAGATAAAGACAGAGGGTTAGATGGACCATACCATCACTGGCCTGGAGATAAAGACAGAGGGTTAGATGGACCATACTATCACTGGCCTGGAGATAAAGACAGAGGGTTAGATGGACCATACTATCACTGGCCTGGAGATAAAGACAGAGGGTTAGATGGACCATACTATCACTGGCCTGGAGATAAAGACAGAGGGTTAGATGGACCATACTATCACTGGCCTGGAGATAAAGACAGAGGGTTAGATGGACCATACTATCACTGGCCTGGAGATAAAGACAGAGGGTTAGATGGACCATACCATCACTGGCCTGGAGATAAAGACAGAGGGTTAGATGGACCATACTATCACTGGCCTGGAGATAAAGACAGAGGGTTAGATGGACCATACTATCACTGGCCTGGAGATAAAGACAGAGGGTTAGATGGACCATACCATCACTGGCCTGGAGATAAAGACAGAGGGTTAGATGGACCATACTATCACTGGCCTGGAGATAAAGACAGAGGGTTAGATGGACCATACTATCACTGGCCTGGAGATAAAGACAGAGGGTTAGGGCATAGGGTTTAGGGTTTAGGGTGTTAGATATAATTAGGTAAAGGGTTAGATAAACAGTGCCTTCAGACAGTATTCACAACCCTTGACGTTTTCCACATTTTGTTGTTTTACAGGCTGAACTTAAAATGGATTAAATGTAGATGTTGTGTCACTGGCCTATACACAATACCCCATAATGTCAAAGCGGAATTATGTTTTGAGAATGTTTTACAACTTAATAAAAATTGAAAGCTGAAATGTCTTGAGTCAGTAAGTATTCAACTCCTCGACCCCATCCCCTCCTCCCTTCTCCAGACCTTCTCACTTCCCTCATCAACTCATCCCTGACCACTGGCTTCGTCCCCTCTGACTTCCAAATGGCCCATGTCGCTCCCCTGCTCAAGAAACCAACAACTACAGACCTGTATCCCTTCTTTTTTTTCTTTCTAAAACACTTGAGCTGCTGTCTCTGATCAACTTTCTCTATCTCTCTCAGAACATTCAAAGACCTCTCCATCAAGGTTGACAACTCCATTGTTTCCTCCTCCCATAGTGCAAAGAACATTGGCATGACCTTGGACAACACCCTGTCGTTCTCTGTAAACATCAAAGCAGTGACCCGCTCCTGCAGGTTCATGCTCTACAACATCCGTAGAGTACGACCCTACCTCACACAGGAAGTGGTGCAGGTCCTAATCCAGGCACTTGTCATCTCCCATCTGGATTACTGCAACTCGCTGTTGGCTGGGCTCCCTGCTTGTGCCATCAAACCCCTGCAACTTATCCAGAACGCTGCAGCCCGCCTGGTGTTCAACCTTCAAGTTCTCTCATGTTACCCCGCTCCTCTGCACACTCCACTGGCTTCCAGTTGAAGCTCACATCCACTACAACACCATGGTGCTTACCTACGGAGCAGCAAGAGGAACTGCCCCTCCCTACCTTCAGGCTATGCTCAAACCCTACACCCCAACCAGAGCACTCCGTTCTGCCACCTCTTGGCCCTCCCACCCCTACAGGAGGTCAGCTCCTGCTCAGCCCAGTCCCAGCTCTGGATAAGAGCATCTGCTAAATGACTAAAATGTAAATGTTATGGCAAGCCTAAATAAGTTCAGGAGTGAAAATGTGCTTAACAAGTCACATAATAAGTTGCATGGACTTGTGTGTAATAATAGTGTTTAACATGATTTTTGAATGACTTCCTCATCTCTGTACCCCACACAGTCTCTCAGTCGAGCAGTGAATTTCAAACACAGATTCAACCACAAAGACCAGGGAGGTTTTCCAATGCCTCGCAAAGAAGAGCACCCATTGGTAGATGGGTAAAAATGTAAAAAGCAGACATTGAATATCCCTTTGAGCATGGTGAAGTTATTAATTACACTTTGGTCAATACACCCAGTCGCTACAACGTAACGTAACGTAACAAAATGTGGAAAAAGTCAAGGGGTCTGAATACTTTCTGAATGCGCTGTCTAGGATGAACCTTGACTAGAATACAGTAGATACATATAAAGTGGGTAAACAGTATGTAAACATTATTAAAGTGACCAGTGCCTTCAGAAAATATTCACACCCCTTGACCTTTTCCATATTTTGTTATGTTACAGCCTGAATTGAAAATAAATGTAAGTTGTTTTGTTTTTTTGTTTTTTTTAACTGGCCTACGCACAATACCCCATAATGTCAAAGTGGAATAGTTTTTTTGAAATGTTTCCAAATGAATTCAAAAGGAAAAGCTGATGTTTTGCGTCTAAGTATTTAACCCCTTTGTTATGGCCTAAATACGTTTTGAGTAATCATTTGTTAATATGTTGTCTAAGTATTTAACCCCTTTGTTATGGCCTAAATACGTTTTGAGTAATCATTTGTTCATATGTTGAATGGACTCTCTGTGTGCAATAAGTGTTTAACATGATTATTTTGAATGACTACCTCATCTGACACCTCACCTAACCCTAACCCTCATCTGTGTACCCCACATATACAATTCATTATCTGTAAGGTCCGTCAGTCGAGCAGTGAATTTCAAACACAGATTCAACCACAAAGACCAGGGAGGTTTTCCAATGCCTTGCAAAGAAGAGCACCTATTGGTAGATGGGTAAAAATGAAAAAAGCAGACATTGAATATCCCTTTGAGCATGGTGAAGTTATTAATTACACTTTGGATGGTGTATCAATACACCCAGTCACTACAAAGATAAAGGCGTCCTTCCTAACTCAGTTGCCGGAGAGGAAGGAAACCACTCAGGGATTTCACCATGAGGCCAATGGTGACTTTAAAACAGTTACTGAGTTTATTGGCTGTGATAGGAGAAAACTAAGGATGGATCAACAACATTGTAGTTACTCCACAATACTAACCTAAATGACAGAGTGAAAAGAAGGAAGCCTGTACAGAATACAACTATTCCCAAACATGTATCCTGTTTGCATTAAGGCACTAAAGTAATACTTCAAAAAATGCAGCAAAGCAATTAACTTTTTGTCCTGAATACTGAGAACCACTCTCCATATTTTCAAGCATAGTGGTGGCTGCATCATGTTATGAGTATGATTGTAATCGTTAAGGACTGGGGAGTTTTTCAGGATATAAAATAAATGGAATGGAGCTAAGCACAAGCAGAATCCTGGAGGAAAACCTGTTTGTCTGCTGTCCACCAGACACTGGGAGACTAGAGGAAACCCTGGTTCAGTCTGCTGTCCACCAGACACTGGGAGACTAGAGGAAACCCTGGTTCAGTCTGCTTTCTACCAGACACTGGGAGATGAATTCACCTTTCAGCAGGACAATAACCAAAACACAAGGCCAAATCTACACTGAAGTTGCTTACCAAGAAGACAGTGAATGTTCCTGAGTGGCCGAGTCACAGTTTTGACTTAAATCTACTTTAGAATCTATGGCAAGACCTGAAAATGGATGTCTTGCAATGATCAACAATCAATTTGACAGAGCTTAAAGAATTTTGAAATAAAAGAATGGGCAAATGTTCTAGAATCCAGGTGTGGAACGCTCTTAGTGACTCCCAGATTTAATCGCTGCGAAAGGAGCTTGTACAAAGTACTGACTCAGGGGTGTGAATACTTATGGAAATGAGATATTTCTGTGTTTAATATTCAATACATTTCTAAAAACATGTTTTCACTTTGTCATTATAGGGTATTGTGTGTAAATGAGTGAGAAAAACCTATTGAATCCATTTTGAATTCCGGCTGTAAAAACAGAATGTGGAATAAGTCAAAGGGTATTAATACTTTCTGAACGCACGATGATAACATCAGGGTTAGTATGTAGGGTGTTGGGTTTAGGGTGTAGTCTGTAGTGTGTAGTCTGTAGTCTGTAGTCTGTAGGGTGTAGTGTGTAGGGTGTAGTGTGTAGGGTGCAGTCTGTAGGGTGTAGTCTGTAGGGTGTAGTCTGTAGGATGTAGTGTGTAGTGTGTAGGGTGTAGTGTGTAGGGTGCAGTCTGTAGGGTGTAGGGTGTAGTCTGTAGTGTGTATTATGTAGTGTGTAGGGTGTATTATGTAGTGTGTAGTCTGTAGGGTGTATTATGTAGTGTGTAGTCTGTAGTGTGTATTATGTAGTGTGTAGTCTGTAGGGTGTATTATGTAGTGTGTATTATGTAGTATGTAGTGTGTAGTCTGTAGTGTGTAGTCTGTAGGGTGTAGTCTGTAGGGTGCATTCTGTAGGGTGCAGTCTGTAGTGTGTAGGGTGTAGTCTGTAGGGTGTAGTCTGTAGGGTGTAGTCTGTAGGGTGTAGTGTGTAGGGTGTAGTGTGTAGGGTGTAGTGTGTAGTGTGTAGGGTGTAGTGTGTAGGGTGCAGTCTGTAGGGTGTAGTCTGTAGTGTGTATTATGTAGTGTGTAGGGTGTAGTCTGTAGGGTGTAGTCTGTAGGGTGTAGTGTGTAGTGTGTAGTGTGTAGGGTGTAGGGTGTAGTCTGTAGTCTGTAGGGTGTAGTCTGTAGGGTGTAGTCTGTAGGGTGTAGTCTGTAGTGTGTAGTGTGTAGTGTGTAGTCTGTAGGGTGTAGTCTGTAGGGTGTAGTCTGTAGGGTGTAGTCTGTAGGGTGTAGTGTGTAGGGTGTAGTCTGTAGTGTGTAGGGTGTAGTCTGTAGGGTGTAGTCTGTAGTGTGTAGGGTGTAGTCTGTAGTCTGTAGGGTGTAGTCTGTAGGGTGTAGTCTGTAGGGTGTAGTCTGTAGGGTGTAGTCTGTAGGGTATAGGGTATAGGGTGTAGGGTGTAGTGTGTAGTCTGTAGGGTGTAGTCTGTAGGGTGTATTATGTAGTGTGTAGTCTGTAGGGTGCAGTCTGTAGGGTGTAGTCTGTAGGGTGTAGTCTGTAGGGTGTAGGGTATAGGGTATAGGGTGTAGTGTGTAGTCTGTAGGGTGTAGTCTGTAGGGTGTATAATGTAGTGTGTAGTGTGTAGTCTGTAGGGTGTAGGGTATAGGGTATAGGGTGTAGGGTGTAGGGTGTAGGGTGTATTATGTAGTGTGTAGTCTGTAGTGTGTATTATGTAGTGTGTAGGGTGTAGTCTGTAGGGTGTAGTCTGTAGGGTGTAGGGTATAGGGTATAGGGTGTAGGGTGTATTATGTAGTGTGTAGTCTGTAGTGTGTATTATGTAGTGTGTAGGGTATAGTCTGTAGGGTGTATAATGTAGTGTGTAGTGTGTAGTCTGTAGTGTGTAGGGTGTAGTGTGTAGTCTGTAGGGTGGAGGGTGTAGTCTGTAGTGTGTAGTCTGTAGTGTGTATTATGTAGTGTGTAGTGTGTAGGGTGTAGTGTGTATTATGTAGTGTGTATTATGTAGTGTGTAGGGTGTAGTCTGTAGGGTGTAGGGTGTAGTGTGTAGGGTGTAGTGTGTAGGGTGTAGTGTGTAGGGTGTAGTGTGTAGTGTGTAGTGTGTAGGGTGTAGGGTGGAGGGTGTAGCCTGTAGTGTGTAGTATGTAGTCTGTAGTCTGTAGGGTGTAGTCTGTAGGGTGTAGTCTGTAGGGTGTAGTCTGTAGGGTGTAGGGTATAGGGTGTAGGGTGTAGTGTGTAGTCTGTAGGGTGTAGTCTGTAGGGTGTAGTGTGTAGGGTGTAGTCTGTAGGGTGCAGTCTGTAGGGTGTAGTCTGTAGGGTGCAGTCTGTAGGGTGTAGTCTGTAGGGTGCAGTCTGTAGGGTGTAGTCTGTAGGGTGCAGTCTGTAGGGTGTAGGGTGTAGTCTGGAGGGTGTAGTCTGTAGGGTGTAGTGTGTAGGGTGTAGTCTGTAGGGTGTAGGGTGTAGTCTGTAGGGTGCAGTCTGTAGGGTGCAGTCTGTAGGGTGTAGGGTGTAGTCTGTAGGGTATAGGGTGTAGGGTGTAGTCTGTAGGGTGTAGTCTGGAGGGTGTAGTCTGTAGGGTGTAGGGTGTAGTCTGTAGGGTGTAGGGTGTAGTGTGTAGGGTGTAGTATTCTTACTTGTTCTCTTCTATGAGGATACGGAGAACATCAGGGTTGACGATGACAACATCAGCATCGATACTGAAGTAGTAATCACACTGACTGTCCTTCTTACACGCCTCCCTACACACACAGAACACAGACAGAACACACACAGAACACACACAGAACACACACAGAACACACACAGAACACAGACAGAACACACACAGAACACACACAGAACACACACAGAACACAGACCAGAACACAGACAGAACACACCAAACACACAGAACACCACAGAACACAGACAGAACACAGACAGAACACAGACAGAAAACCCACACAGAACACACACAGAACACAGACAGAACACACAGACAGAACACACAGACAGAACACACGGACAGAACAACACAGACAGAACACACAGACAGAACAACACAGACAGAACACACAGAACAAACACAGACAGAAACACACACAGAACACAGACAGAACACACACAGAACACACACAGAACACACACAGAACACAGACAGAACACAGACAGAACACACACAGAACACACACAGAACACACACAGAACACAGACAGAACACAGACAGAACACACGACAGAACACACACAGAACACACACAGAACACAGACAGAACACAGACAGAACACACACAGAACACAGACAGAACACAACAGAACACCAGACAGAACACAGACAGAACACACACAGAACACCACAGAACACAGACAGAACACAGACAGAACCACACAGAACACCACACAGAACACACGACAGAAACACAGACAGAACACAGACAGAACACGACATAACACACACAGAACACACACAGAACACAGACAGAACACAGACAGAACACACACAGAACACAGACAGAACACACACAGAACACACGACAGAACACAGACAGAACACAGACAGAACACACACAGAACACAGACAGAACACACACAGAACACAGACAGAACACAGACAGAACACACACAGAACACACACAGAACAGAACACAGGACAGAACACACACAGACACAGACAGAACACACGACAGAACACAGACAGAACACAGACAGAACACACACAGAACACACACAGAACACAGACAGAACACAGACAGAACACAAGACAGAACACAGACAGAACACAGACAGAACACACACAGAACACACACAGAACACAGACAGAACACACACAGAACACAGACAGAACACAGACAGAACACAGACAGAACACACACAGAACACACACAGAACACACACAGAACACAGACAGAACACAGACAGAACACACACAGAACACAGACAGAACACACACAGAACACACACAGAACACACACAGAACACAGACAGAACACAGACAGAACACAGACAGAACACACACAGAACACACAACAGAAAACACACACAGAACACACCACAGAACACAGACAGAACACAGACAGAACACACAGAAACAGACAAACACACACAGAACACACACAGAACACAGACAGAACCACACAGAACACGACAGAACACAGACAGGAACACAGACAAGAACACAGACAGAAAACACACAGAACACAGACAGAACACAGACAGAACACAGACAGAACACAGACAGAACACACCAGAACACACACAGACACAGACAGAACACAGACAGAACACAGACAGAAACCCGAACACAGACAGAACACAGACAAACACAGACAGAACACACACAAAACACAAGACAGAACACAGAAGACACAGACAGAACACACACAGAACACAGGTTACATGAATGTACCTATGGTTATGCAGGTTTGCGATATGTTCTAAGCAGTTCATTGTTACAATAACTCCCTCAGTCAAGGGAACCCAGGTGTAATCCTCACAACAGAACACCATGGATTCTACTAGGTCCTGTGCAGTATCTCCACGATCCAAGACCAGCCATGCGTCAGGGAACAACACACGATCTCTCATCCGCAGAACGCTGAATTTGCGTTCATGATACACCACCTAGTATACAAAACACACACACACAGAGAGACACATCACACACACCACAGAACACACACACACACACACACAACACACACACACACAAAGACACCAACACACACACACCAGAGAACACACACACAACAGCATACAGAACACACCATAGCACAACAACACACAAACACACACAGAGACACACACACAGAACACACACAGAACAACACACACACACACAAACACACACACACAACACAGAGACACACACACAACACAGAACACACACACACAGGCACACACACACACACACACAGAGAACACACACCAACACACAACAAGACACACACACACAACCAAACACCCACCACACACAACACAGACACACACACAACACAAACCCACAACACACAAGACACACACACAACACACACACAAACAACAACCCAACAACACACAGACAGCACACCACACACACAGAGACACACACACACCACACATAAACACCACACACAACACCACATATACACACACACCACACAAACACACACACACATATACACACACACACAAACACACACAATACACACACACACACACATATACACACACACACACACAATACACACACACACACCACAATGACCACAACACACAATACACACACACACACACACATATACACACACCACACACACATATACACACACCACAACCACAATCACACACACACACACAATACACACACACACACACAAGACACACACACACAGTATACACACACACACACCACACACATAACACACACACCACACTATACACACACAACACAGACACACACACACACACACACACAGACACACACACACACACCAAACACACACACACAAACACACACACACATAACACAATACACACACACAGAGACACAGAGACACACACACACACAGTTAAAACCTCCAAAAGTCTAAGCCGCTGGGAGGGGGAGTGGGGTGCTAAGCTAACATATGGAATTGTTTTAAGATGGTCATACCATGGATCATTTAGCTATTTGATTCAGAATTGTAGGACCCCTTTAGGTATCCCCCCCCCCCCCCCAATTTTTTTTTGGGATTTGATAAAAAATGGATTTGTTCTTTACTACTAAAGCCCATTGAAACACATTGAATAACACATTCAGAAATGGCAAAAAGGACAGTCAAAAACAAATCATAAGAAACAAGGTTTTGAAGTGTCTGTCCTAAATCTAGGAGATATCAGAAAGGTCAGGAAATATTTTGTTTTTAGGACACATATTTAACCCCTTTTTTTTGTTGGCACAAAACTATCTCCATACTTCCATTCATTTGTATGGGGTACCTTCAGACGGAGGTTTCATATCTATATATATCTCCATACTTCCATTCATTTGTATGGGGTACCTTCAGACGTGTCCCGTGACACTAGTGGGATGGTGTGTTATGGTGTGAGATTGTGTGTGTGATGGTGTGTGTGTGTGTGTGTGAGAGAGTGTGTGTGATGGTGTGTGTGTGATGGTGTGTGTGTGTGTGTGTGTGTGTGAGAGAGTGTGTGTGTGTGTGTGTGTGTGAGAGAGAGTGTGTGTGATGGTGTGTGTGTGATGGTGTGTGTGATGGTGTGTGTGTGTGTGTGTGTGATGGTGTGTGTGTGATGGTGTGTGTGTGTGTGTGTGTGAGAGAGTGTGTGTGTGTGTGTGTGTGTGTGTGAGAGAGTGTGTGTGATGGTGTGTGTGATGGTGTGTGTGTGAGAGAGAGTGTGTGTACTAACATTGTTGTGGATAAACAGTCTGATGCGGCTGGTTGGGTAGTTGAGGGTGGTCAGTCTCTCTAGAAACTCTTCCAGGAAGGGAGTCGGCTGAACGATGAACACGGACACATACACCAAGGGCATCTCTTCATCCTAGGGTTAATTACATACTGCATTCATAACCAACATGTTGAACTTACTTCAACCACAATAACACAGTTGGTCTTTCTCACGCTCTATCATCATCTATTATCATCTTTCTACCACAAACTGTCTGACTATCATCTTTCTATCACAAACTGTCTGTCTCTCTCATCTTTCTATCACAAACTGTCTGACTATCATCTTTCTATCACACACAAACTTTGTCTCTCTCACACACAGACCCAGACCCAGACCCAGACCCAGACCCAGACCCAGACCCAGACACAGACACAGACACAGACCCAGACCGGTACATACAGGTGTGTCGTTGAGGTAGATCAGGTCGTCGTCACAGATCCCACAGCCGGTCTCGTGAGTCCAGGCAGTCGGGACATAGTTCCCCAGGTAGTTCAACTGGAGCTGGGGGAAGGTATGGTGGGAGGATATGGTGGGGAGGGTATGGGAGGAGGGTATGGGAGGAGGGTATGGGAGGAGGGTATGGTGGGAGGGTATGGTGGGAGGGTATGGTGGGAGGATATGGGGGGAGGATATGGGAGGAGGGTATGGGGGGAGGATATGGGAGGAGGATATGGTGGGGAGGATATGGTGGGGAGGGTATGGGAGGAGGGTATGGTGGGAGAGGTGTTAGATAATAAATGGTCATGTCCTCTTCCAATTGAGCACAAAGTGTCTGTCTCTAACCCTAATATAACCACTTCTCTCTGTCTGTCTCTAACCCTAATATAACCACTTCTCTGTCTGTCTCTAACCCTAATATAACCACTTCTCTCTGTCTGTCTCTAACCCTAATATAACCACTTCTCTCTGTCTGTCTCTAACCCTAATATAACCACTTCTCTCTGTCTGTCTCTAACCCTAATATAACCACTTCTCTCTGTCTGTCTCTAACCCTAATATAACCACTTCTCCCTGTCTGTCTCTAACCCTAATATAACCACTTCTCTGTCTGTCTCTAACCCTAATATAACCACTACTCTCTGTCTGTCTCTAACCCTAATATAACCACTTCTCTCTGTCTGTCTCTAACCCTAATATAACCACTTCTCTCTGTCTGTCTCTAACCCTAATATAACCACTTCTCTCTGTCTGTCTCTAACCCTAATATAACCACTTCTCTCTCTGTCTGTATAACCACTTCTCTGTCTGTCTCTAACCCTAATATACCACTTCTCTGTCTGTCTCTAACCCTAATATAACCACTTCTCTCTGTCTGTCTCTAACCCTAATATAACCACTTCTCTGTCTGTCTCTAACCCTAATATAACCACTTCTCTGTCTGTCTCTAACCCTAATATAACCACTTCTCTCTGTCTGTCTCTAACCCTAATATAACCACTTCTCTGTCTGTCTCTAACCCTAATATAACCACTTCTCTGTCTGTCTCTAACCCTAATATAACCACTTCTCTCTGTCTGTCTCTAACCCTAATATAACCACTTCTCTGTCTGTCTCTAACCCTAATATAACCACTTCTCTCTGTCTGTCTCTAACCCTAATATAACCACTTCTCTGTCTGTCTCTAACCCTAATATAACCACTTCTCCGTCTGTCTCTAACCCTAATATAACCACTTCTCTGTCTGTCTCTAACCCTAATATAACCACTTCTCTGTCTGTCTCTAACCCTAATATAACCACTTCTCTCTGTCTGTCTCTAACCCTAATATAACCACTTCTCTCTGTCTGTCTCTAACCCTAATATAACCACTTCTCTCTGTCTGTCTCTAACCCTAATATAACCACTTCTCTGTCTGTCTCTAACCCTAATATAACCACTTCTCTGTCTGTCTCTAACCCTAATATAACCACTTCTCTCTGTCTGTCTCTAACCCTAATATAACCACTTCTCTCTGTCTGTCTCTAACCCTAATATAACCACTTCTCTCTGTCTGTCTCTAACCCTAATATAACCACTTCTCTGTCTGTCTGTATGAAGAATGTGTTTAGAATGTTCACCATTTCATTCTAAACCTCAGTGACTTGTCCCCACCCAAGCATGATTTGCATACCGCCCCAATAGATCCACAGACGATGCGATCGCCATCGCACTGCCCACTGCCCTATCCCATCTGGACAAGAGGAATACCTATGTAAGAATGCTGTTCCTTGACTATAGCTCAGCCTTCAACACCATAGTACCCTCCAAGCTCATCATTAAGCTTGGGGCCCTGGGTCTGAACCCCGCCCTGTGCAACTGGGTCCTGGACTTCCTGACGGGCCGCCCCCAGGTGGTGAAGGTAGGAAACAACACCTCCACTTCGCTGATCCTAAACACTGGGGCCCCACAAGGGTGCATGCTCTGCCCCCTCCTGTACTCCCTGTTCACCCATGACTGCGTGGCCTCTTTGAAAAGAGAGTTGGGTAAAGAGTTTTTTTTTGTCTTAAAGGGGCAGTGTTGTATTTTGAGATAGGTTTGAATAAGTAGCCAATAGGCCGAGGGTAGCATAATTTTTCTGATTCTCTGTAATAATTCTATGGGAATAATAATGCATTTTATTTTGTAAAGTGGTTTCTTGCATCAAACACCACAACAACATTCAGTCACCTCCTTCTCTGAGTGGACAGGTTCATGTCTGCTAAATGGGTTAGGGTTATTATTATGTCAAGACCTGCATGTTTTTATCAAAAGTCTCATGGAATGTGGGCCTACATTGAACACCACACATTGGCTGCTACTGTAGGCTGAATGATAGAACAGCTATTTCCATGATAAAATGTTATAGGATGCATTTTCTCTATTGTTTTTGATGGTAGGCCACACTGGTAGTCCAACATTATGATCAAATAGCCACAGTACCCTACATACTCCATATATAGTACACTACCCAGACGGAACCCTACATACTCCATATATAGTACACTACCCAGACGGAACCCTACATACTCCATATATAGTACACTACCCAGACGGAACCCTACATACTCCATATATAGTACACTACCCAGACGGAACCCTACATACTCCATATATAGTACACTACCCAGACGGAACCCTACATACTCCATATATAGTACACTACCCAGACGGAACCCTACATACTCCATATATAGTACACTACCCAGACGGAACCCTACATACTCCATATATAGTACACTACCCAGAGGGAACCCTACATACTTCATATATAGTACACTACCCAGAGGGAACCCTACATACTCCATATATAGTACACTACCCAGAGGGAACCCTACATACTCCATATATAGTACACTACCCAGACGGAACCCTACATACTCCATATATAGTACACTACCCAGACGGAACCCTACGTACTCCATATATAGTACACTACCCAGACGGAACCCTACATACTCCATATATAGTACTACCCAGACGGAACCCTACATACTCCATATATAGTACACTACCCAGACGGAACCCTACATACTCCATATATAGTACTACCCAGACGGAACCCTACATACTCCATATATAGTACACTACCCAGACGGAACCCTACATACTCCATATATAGTACACTACCCAGACGGAACCCTACATACTCCATATATAGTACTACCCAGACGGAACCCTACATACTCCATATATAGTACACTACCCAGACGGAACCCTACATACTCCATATATAGTACACTACCCAGACGGAACCCTACATACTCCATATATAGTACACTACCCAGACGGAACCCTACATACTCCATATATAGTACTACCCAGACGGAACCCTACATACTCCATATATAGTACACTACCCAGACGGAACCCTACATACTCCATATATAGTACACTACCCAGACGGAACCCTACATACTCCATATATAGTACACTACCCAGACGGAACCCTACATACTCCATATATAGTACACTACCCAGACGGAACCCTACATACTCCATATATAGTACACTACCCAGAGGGAACCCTACATACTCCATATATAGTACACTACCCAGACGGAACCCTACATACTCCATATATAGTACACTACCCAGACGGAACCCTACATACTCCATATATAGTACTACCCAGACGGAACCCTACATACTCCATATATAGTACACTACCCAGACGGAACCCTACATACTCCATATATAGTACACTACCCAGACGGAACCCTACATACTCCATATATAGTACACTACCCAGACGGAACCCTACATACTCCATATATAGTACTACCCAGACGGAACCCTACATACTCCATATATAGTACACTACCCAGACGGAACCCTACATACTCCATATATAGTACACTACCCAGACGGAACCCTACATACTCCATATATAGTACTACCCAGAGGGAACCCTACATACTCCATATATAGTACTACCCAGAGGGAACCCTACATACTCCATATATAGTACTACCCAGACGGAACCCTACATACTCCATATATAGTACACTACCCAGAGGGAACCCTACATACTCCATATATAGTACACTACCCAGAGGGAACCCTACATACTCCATATATAGTACACTACCCAGACGGAACCCTACATACTCCATATATAGTACTACCCAGACGGAACCCTACATACTCCATATATAGTACACTACCCAGACGGAACCCTACGTACTCCATATATAGTACACTACCCAGAGGGAACCCTACATACTCCATATATAGTACACTACCCAGACGGAACCCTACATACTCCATATATAGTACACTACCCAGAGGGAACCCTACATACTCCATATATAGTACACTACCCAGACGGAACCCTACATACTCCATATATAGTAACTACCCAGACGGAACCCTACATACTCCATATATAGTACACTACCCAGACGGAACCCTACATACTCCATATATAGTACACTACCCAGACGGAACCCTACATACTCCATATATAGTACACTACCCAGACGGAACCCTACATACTCCATATATAGTACACTACCCAGACGGAACCCTACATACTCCATATATAATACACTACCCAGACGGAACCCTATATACTCCATATATAGTACTACCCAGAGGGAACCCTACATACTCCATATATAATACACTACCCAGACGGAACCCTACATACTCCATATATAGTACACTACCCAGACGGAACCCTACATACTCCATATATAGTACTACCCAGAGGGAACCCTACATACTCCATATATAATACACTACCCAGACGGAACCCTACATACTCCATATATAGTACACTACCCAGACGGAACCCTACATACTCCATATATAGTACACTACCCAGACGGAACCCTACATACTCCATATATAGTACACTACCCAGACGGAACCCTACGTACTCCATATATAGTACACTACCCAGACGGAACCCTACATACTCCATATATAGTACACTACCCAGACGGAACCCTACATACTCCATATATAGTACACTACCCAGACGGAACCCTACATACTCCATATATAGTACACTACCCAGACGGAACCCTACATACTCCATATATAGTACACTTCCCAGACGGAACCCTACATACTCCATATATAGTACACTACCCAGACGGAACCCTACATACTCCATATATAGTACACTACCCAGATGGAACGCTACATACTCCATATATAGTACACTACCCAGACGGAACCCTACATACTCCATATATAGTACACTACCCAGACGGAACCCTACATACTCCATATATAGTACACTACCCAGACGGAACCCTACATACTCCATATATAGTACACTACCCAGACGGAACCCTACATACTCCATATATAGTACACTACCCAGACGGAACCCTACATACTCCATATATAGTACTACCCAGACGGAACCCTACATACTCCATATATAGTACACTACCCAGACGGAACCCTACATACTCCATATATAGTACACTACCCAGACGGAACCCTACATACTCCATATATAGTACACTACCCAGACGGAACCCTACATACTCCATATATAGTACACTACCCAGAGGGAACCCTACATACTCCATATATAGTACACTACCCAGACGGAACCCTACATACTCCATATATAGTACTACCCAGACGGAACCCTACATACTCCATATATAGTACACTACCCAGACGGAACCCTACATACTCCATATATAGTACACTACCCAGACGGAACCCTACATACTCCATATATAGTACACTACCCAGACGGAACCCTACATACTCCATATATAGTACACTACCCAGACGGAACCCTACATACTCCATATATAGTACACTACCCAGACGGAACCCTACATACTCCATATATAGTACTACCCAGACGGAACCCTACATACTCCATATATAGTACACTACCCAGAGGGAACCCTACATACTCCATATATAGTACACTACCCAGAGGGAACCCTACATACTCCATATATAGTACACTACCCAGACGGAACCCTACATACTCCATATATAGTACACTACCCAGACGGAACCCTACATACTCCATATATAGTACACTACCCAGACGGAACCCTACATACTCCATATATAGTACACTACCCAGACGGAACCCTACATACTCCATATATAGTACACTACCCAGACGGAACCCTACATACTCCATATATAGTACACTACCCAGACGGAACCCTACATACTCCATATATAGTACACTACCCAGACGGAACCCTACATACTCCATATATAGTACACTACCCAGACGGAACCCTACATACTCCATATATAGTACACTACCCAGACGGAACCCTACATACTCCATATATAGTACACTACCCAGTTTGGCCCATGTTCTGATGCTGTGCTGTGATTGGTTACCTTGGTGGGTCCGTTGCCATGGATTATAACAGGAAGTGTGTCATAGGCCACGTTCCTCGCACGGACACGAGCCTTCTCAAACTTCAGCACCACCTCCTCTGTGTGTAGGTGTGTGAGTGGGTTGGTGTGTGTGTTTAGGTGGGTTGGTGTGTGTTTAGGTGTGTGTGTGTGTAGGTGTGTGTGTGTAGGTGTGTGTGTGTGTGTGTGTGTGTGTGAGAGTGTGTGTGTGTGTGTAGGGAGAGAATAACATGTAGGTTAGTTATACACACTTCAGACAACACAGAGAAGATGGAGGCAGAATTGGGGTTCTAAGCAGTCGGAGTACTAAGTGTGTATGTATGTATGTATGTGTGTGTGTGTGTGTGTGTGTCTCACCGATGGCTCCGTTGAGGTTCTGGAAGATTCTAGAGCGATGGTCCAGAGTCATGTTGTACTTGGTCTGAAAAACAACATTACAATGTTACTACAACGTTACCACAACATTATTACAAGTTTACTACAACATTACAACAATGTTAGCAACATTAGTCTACTATACCCCACCAAAGCATAGGTTAGAGGTCAGGGTTTGAGGGTAAAGGTTAGAGCTCAGGGGTTAGAGGTCAGGGGTTAGAGGGTAAAGGTTAGAGGGTAAAGGTTAGAGGGTAAAGGTTAGAGGGTAAAGGTCAGGGTTAGAGGGTAAAGGTTAGAGGGTAAAGGTTAGAGGGTAAGGGTTAGAGGGTAAAGGTTAGAGGGTAAAGGTTAGAGGGTAAAGGTTAGAGGGTAAAGGTTAGAGGGTAAAGGTTAGAGGGTAAAGGTTAGAGGGTAAAGGTTAGAGGGTAAAGGTCAGGGTTAGAGGGTAAAGGTTAGAGGGTAAAGGTTAGAGGGTAAAGGTTAGAGGTCAGGGGTTAGAGGGTAAGGGTTAGAGGGTAAAAGGTTAGAGGGTAAAGGTTTAAGCGGGGTATAAGGTTAGGGGTAAGGGTTTAGAGGGAAAGGTTAGAGGGTAAAGTAGCGGGTAAGGGTTAAGGGTCAAGGTTCATGTAGAGGGTAAAGGTTAGAGGGTAAAGGGTGAGAGGTAGAGGGTAAGGTTAGAGGGTAAAGGTCGAGGGTTACAGGTTAGAGGGTAAAGCGTTAGAGGTAAAGGTTAGAGGGTAAGGTAGAGGGTAAAGGTTGAGGGTAAAGGTTAGAGGGTAAAGGTCAGGGTTTAGAGGGTAAGGTTAGAGGGTAAGGTTAGGGGTGGTTAAGGAGAGGGTAAAGGTCAGGGTTAGAGGGAAGGTAGAGTAAAGGTTAGTAGAGGGTAAAAGGTTAGAGGGTTTAAAGGTTGAGGGTCAAGGTTAGAGGGTAAAGATTTAGAGGGGTAAGAGGGTAAAGGTTAGAGGGTAAAGGTCAGGGTTAGAGGGTAAAGGTTAGAGGGTAAAGGTTAGAGGGTAAAGGTTAGAGGGTAAAGGTTAGAGGTTACTGTATCTTTCATGGACAGATCTACGTAAACATAACTGGTACCCTAGAATCTGTCTGGAAGGAATGCGTGGGATAACTAACAGCAGTAGTTCCGGTGTTAGTTTTTTCGTCACTGGTTATTTGGACAAATCACGATTTTGCAGGTGTTAGCATCTTTCGAATTTGGGAAGGGGAGGGGACATTGGGCCCGTAAGTTGCAGAGAGAGAGGGTGGACTCTGGGCCATCGGCCCGTAAGTTGCAGAGAGAGAGGGTGGACTCTGGGCCATTGGCCTGTAAGTTGCAGAGAGAGGGTGGACTCTGGGCCATTGGGCCTGTAAGTTGCAGAGAGAGAGGGTGGACTCTGGGCCATCGGCCCGTAAGTTGCAGAGAGAGAGGGTGGACTCTGGGCCATTGGGCCCGTAACTTGCAGAGGGAGACGGTGGACTCTGGGCCATTGGGCCCGTAACTTGCAGAGAGAGACGGTGGACTCTGGGCCATGGGCCCGTAAGTTGCAGAGAGAGGGTGGACTCTGGGCCATTGGGCCTGTAAGTTGCAGAGAGAGGGTGGACTCTGGGCCATTGGGCCTGTAAGTTGCAGAGAGAGGGTGGACTCTGGGCCATTGGGCCTGTAAGTTGCAGAGAGAGAGGGTGGACTCTGGGCCATTGGCCCGTAAGTTGCAGAGAGAGAGGGTGGACTCTGGGCCATTGGCCCGTAAGTTGCAGAGAGAGAGGGTGGACTCTGGGCCATTGGCCCGTAAGTTGCAGAGAGAGAGGGTGGACTCTGGGCCATTGGCCCGTAAGTTGCAGAGAGAGGGTGGACTCTGGGCCATTGGCCCGTAAGTTGCAGAGAGAGAGGGTGGACTCTGGGCCATTGGCCCGTAAGTTGCAGAGAGAGAGGGTGGACTCTGGGCCATTGGCCCGTAAGTTGCAGAGAGAGGGTGGACTCTGTGCCATTGGCCCGTAAGTTGCAGAGAGAGAGGGTGGACTCTGGGCCATGGGCCCGTAAGTTGCAGATAGAGAGGGTGGACTCTGGGCCATGGGCCCGTAACTTGCAGAGAGAGAGGGTGGACTCTGGGCCATGGGCCCGTAACTTGCAGAGAGAGACGGTGGACTCTGGGCCATTGGGCCCGTAACTTGCAGAGGGAGACGGTGGACTCTGGCCCATTGGCCCGTAAGTTGCAGAGAGAGAGGGTGGACTCTGGGCCATTGGCCCGTAAGTTGCAGAGAGAGGGTGGACTCTGGGCCATTGGCCCGTAAGTTGCAGAGAGAGAGGGAGGACTCTGGGCCATTGGCCCGTAAGTTGCAGAGAGAGACGGTGGACTCTGGGCCATTGGCCCGTAAGTTGCAGAGAGAGAGGGAGGACTCTGGGCCATTGGCCCGTAAGTTGCAGAGAGAGACGGTGGACTCTGGGCCATTGGCCCGTAACTTGCAGAGAGAGACGGTGGACTCTGGGCCATTGGGCCCGTAACTTGCAGAGAGAGACGGTGGACTCTGGGCCATTCGGCCCGTAAGTTGCAGAGAGAGAGGGTGGACTCTGGGCCATGGGCCCGTAAGTTGCAGAGAGAGGGTGGACTCTGGGCCATTGGGCCTGTAAGTTGCAGAGAGAGGGTGGACTCTGGGCCATTGGGCCTGTAAGTTGCAGAGAGAGAGGGTGGACTCTGGGCCATTGGCCCGTAAGTTGCAGAGAGAGAGGGTGGACTCTGGGCCATTGGCCCGTAAGTTGCAGAGAGAGAGGGTGGACTCTGGGCCATTGGCCCGTAAGTTGCAGAGAGAGACGGTGGACTCTGGGCCATTGGGCCCGTAACTTGCAGAGAGAGACAGTGGACTCTGGCCCATTGGGCCCGTAAGTTGCAGAGAGAGAGGGTGGACTCTGGGCCATGGGCCCGTAAGTTGCAGAGAGAGAGGGTGGACTCTGGGCCATGGGCCCGTAAGTTGCAGAGAGAGGGTGGACTCTGGGCCATGGGCCCGTAAGTTGCAGAGAGAGGGTGGACTCTGGGCCATTGGGCCTGTAAGTTGCAGAGAGAGGGTGGACTCTGGGCCATTGGGCCTGTAAGTTGCAGAGAGAGGGTGGACTCTGGGCCATTGGGCCTGTAAGTTGCAGAGAGAGGGTGGACTCTGGGCCATTGGGCCCGTAACTTGCAGAGGGAGACGGTGGACTCTGGGCCATTGGGCCCGTAAGTTGCAGAGAGAGAGGGTGGACTCTGGGCCATTGGCCCGTAAGTTGCAGAGAGAGAGGGTGGACTCTGGGCCATTGGCCCGTAAGTTGCAGAGAGAGAGGGTGGACTCTGGGCCATTGGGCCCGTAAGTTGCAGAGAGAGAGGGTGGACTCTGGGCCATGGGCCCGTAAGTTGCAGAGAGAGGGTGGACTCTGGGCCATTGGCCCGTAAGTTGCAGAGAGAGAGGGAGGACTCTGGGCCATTGGCCCGTAAGTTGCAGAGAGAGAGGGTGGACTCTGGGCCATGGGCCCGTAAGTTGCAGAGAGAGGGTGGACTCTGGGCCATTGGGCCTGTAAATTGCAGAGAGAGGGTGGACTCTGGGCCATTGGGCCTGTAAGTTGCAGAGAGAGAGGGTGGACTCTGGGCCATTGGCCCGTAAGTTGCAGAGAGAGAGGGTGGACTCTGGGCCATTGGCCCGTAAGTTGCAGAGAGAGAGGGTGGACTCTGGGCCATTGGCCCGTAAGTTGCAGAGAGAGACGGTGGACTCTGGGCCATTGGGCCCGTAACTTGCAGAGAGAGACAGTGGACTCTGGGCCATTGGGCCCGTAACTTGCAGAGAGAGAGGGTGGACTCTGGGCCATGGGCCCGTAAGTTGCAGAGAGAGAGGGTGGACTCTGGGCCATTGGGCCCGTAACTTGCAGAGAGAGAGGGTGGACTCTGGGCCATGGGCCCGTAAGTTGCAGAGAGAGAGGGTGGGACTCTGGGCCATGGGCCCGTAAGTTGCAGAGAGAGGGTGGACTCTGGGCCATTGGGCCTGTAAGTTGCAGAGAGAGGGTGGACTCTGGGCCATTGGGCCTGTAAGTTGCAGAGAGAGAGGGTGGACTCTGGGCCATTGGGCCCGTAAGTTGCAGAGAGAGAGGGTGGACTCTGGGCCATTGGCCCGTAAGTTGCAGAGAGAGAGGGTGGACTCTGGGCCATTGGCCCGTAAGTTGCAGAGAGAGAGGGTGGACTCTGGGCCATTGGCCCGTAAGTTGCAGAGAGAGAGGGTGGACTCTGGCCATTGGCCCCGTTCAGAGGGTGACTCTGGCCCATTGGCCCGTAAGTTGCAGAGAGAGAGGGTGGACTCTGGCCCATTGGCCCGTAAGTTGCAGAGAGAGAGGGTGGACTCTGGGCCATGGGCCCGTAAGTTGCAGAGAGAGAGGGTGGACTCTGGGCCATGGGCCCGTAAGTTGCAGAGAGAGAGGGTGGACTCTGGGCCATGGGCCCGTAAGTTGCAGAGAGAGACGGTGGACTCTGGGCCATTGGCCCGTAAGTTGCAGATAGAGACGGTGGACTCTGGGCCATTGGGCCCGTAACTTGCAGAGAGAGATGGTGGACTCTGGGCCATTGGGCCCGTAACTTGCAGAGAGAGACGGTGGACTCTGGGCCATTGGGCCCGTAAGTTGCAGAGAGAGAGGGTGGACTCTGGGCCATGGGCCCGTAAGTTGCAGAGAGAGAGGGTGGACTCTGGACCATGGCCCCGTAAGTTGCAGAGAGAGAGGGTGGACTCTGGGCCATTGGGCCGTAAGTTGCAGAGAGAGGGTGGACTCTGGGCCATTGGCCCGTAAGTTGCAGAGAGAGAGGGTGGACTCTGGGCCATTGGCCCGTAAGTTGCAGAGAGAGGGTGGACTCTGGGCCATTGGCCCGTAAGTTGCAGAGAGAGAGGGTGGACTCTGGCCCATTGGCCCGTAAGTTGCAGAGAGAGAGGATGGACTCTGGGCCATTGGGCCCGTGGACTCCTCATCTCGGTTCCAGCATCTCTTTATCCCACATCCTTCTGGGTAGTGTACTATATATGGACCCAATGGGTAGTGTACTATATATGGACCCAATGGGTAGTGTACTATATATGGACCCAATTGGGTTTAGTTCTGGGGTAAATTGACCTCTTATTTGGTGATGTTTAATCTCAGAGGTCATACTAACCAGTTGTACCTTGTCCAGATTGATCTTAATGTAAGAGGTCAGAGGTCATACTAACCAGTTGTACCTTGTCCAGATTGATCTTAATGTAAGAGGTCAGAGGTCATACTAACCAGTTGTACCTTGTCCAGATTGATCTTAATGTAAGAGGTCAGAGGTCATACTAACCAGTTGTACTTTGTCCAGATATACACTACATGATCAAAAGTATGTGGACACCTGCTCATCGAACATCTCATTCCAAAATCATGGGCATTAGAATGGAGTTGGTCCCCCCCTTTGCTGCTATAACAGCCTCCACTCTTCTGGGAAGGCTTTCCACTAGATGTTGGAACATTGCTGCGGGGACTTGCTTCCATTCAGCCACAAGAGCATTAGTGAGGTCGGGCACTGATGTTGGGCGATTAGGCCCGGCTCGCAGTCAGCGTTCCAGTTCATCCCAAAGGTGTTCGATGGGGTTGAGGCCGGGCGCTGATGTTGGGCGATTAGGCCTGGCTCGCAGTCGGCGTTCCAATTCATCCCAAAGGTGTTCGATGGGGTTGAGGCCGGGCGCTGATGTTGGGCGATTAGGCCCGGCTCGCAGTCAGCGCTCCAATTCATCCCAAAGGTGTTCGATGGGGTTGAGGCCGGGCGCTGATGTTGGGCGATTAGGCCCGGCTCGCAGTCAGCGCTCCAATTCATCCCAAAGGTGTTCGATGGGGTTGAGGCCGGGCGCTGATGTTGGGCGATTAGGCCCGGCTCACAGTCAGCGCTCCAATTCATCCCAAAGGTGTTCGATGGGGTTGAGGTCGGGCGCTGATGTTGGGCGATTAGGCCCGGCTCGCAGTCAGCGCTCCAATTCATCCCAAAGGTGTTCGATGGGGTTGAGGCCGGGCACTGATGTTGGGCGATTAGGCCCGGCTCGCAGTCAGCGCTCCAGTTCATCCCAAAGGTGTTCGATGGGGTTGAGGCCGGGCGCTGATGTTGGGCGATTAGGCCCGGCTCGCAGTCAGCGCTCCAATTCATCCCAAAGCCCCCAATAGGGTGTACACATACACTACATATACACAAGTATCTTATTGTAAGAGGTTAGAGGTCATACTAACCCGTTGTATTTTGACACGGTAGATCTTTTTGTAAGAGGTCAGAGGTCATACTAACCCGTTGTACTTTGTCCAGGTAGATCTTAGTGTAAGAGGTCAGAGGTCATACTAACCCGTTGTACTTTGTCCAAGTAGATCTTAATGTAAGAGGTCAGAGGTCATACTAACCCGTTGTACTTTGTCCAGGTAGATCTTAATGTAAGAGGTCAGAGGTCATACTAACCCGTTGTACTTTGTCCAGGTAGATCTTAATGTAAGAGGTCAGAGGTCATACTAACCCGTTGTACTTTGTCCAAGTAGATCTTAATGTAAGAGGTCAGAGGTCATACTATCCCGTTGTACTTTGTCCAGGTAGATCTTAATGTAAGAGGTCAGAGGTCAGACTAACCCGTTGTACTTTGTCCAGGTAGATCTTAATGTAAGAGGTCAGAGGTCATACTAACCCGTTGTACTTTGTCCAGGTAGATCTTAATGTAAGAGGTCAGAGGTCATACTAACCCGTTGTACTTTGTCCAGGTAGATCTTAGTGTAGAAGAGTTGGTCATCATCGTTGTCTTTATGTTTCCACTGTTGAACGATCGCACTGAGCTCTGGAGCATACCCTATAAACCCTACACACACACACACACCCAGCCACACACACACACACACACACAGCCACACACACACACACACACACACACAGCCACACACACACACACACACACACACACACACACACCAGGGTTAACACACTACTGCTGCACTAGAGCATAGCCAATAAAGGGTTAGTGGTGTGTGTGTGTGTGTGTGTGTGTGTGTGTGTGTGTGTGTGTCTTTACGGATTGTGGTTGGTGTGGATGGCTATTTAAATATGTATATGTATTTTAACCCAATAATGGTTGAATTGAAGAAGTTTAAGCTGCCAATCAATCATTGTTTTTGCGACCCGTGGACAGCCAGTGATAAATGTGCTCTTCCAACAGCTGCATAGTGTGGATCCCAGCCTATAGAATAACAGTTTGAGGTGGATCCCAGCCTATAGAATAACAGTTTGAGGTGGATCCCAGCCTATAGAATAACAGTTTGAGGTGGATCCCAGCCTATAGAATAACAGTTTGAGGTGGATCCCAGCCTATAGAATAACAGTATGAGGTGGATCCCAGCCTATAGAATAACAGTTTGAGGTGGATCCCAGCCTATAGAATAACAGTTTGAGGTGGATCCCAGCCTATAGAATAACAGTTTGAGGTGGATCCCAGCCTATAGAATAACAGTTTGAGGTGGATCCCAGCCTATAGAATAACAGTTTGAGGTGGATCCCAGCCTATAGAATAACAGTTTGAGGTGGATCCCAGCCTATAGAATAACAGTTTGAGGTGGATCCCAGCCTATAGAATAACAGTTTGAGGTGGATCCCAGCCTATAGAATAACAGTTTGAGGTGGATCCCAGCCTATAGAAGTGAACAGTTTGAGGTGGATCCCAGCCTATAGAATAACAGTTTGAGGTGGATCCCAGCCTATAGAATAACAGTTTGAGGTGGATCCCAGCCTATAGAATAACAGTTTGAGGTGGATCCCAGCCTATAGAATAACAGTATGAGGAGTTCCTCCCTTCTAACCTTCTCCATGGTGTTGTGCTCCATACTGTTTCATTTCAGTAGACCCCGGTGGGGCTTTTATTGCTCAATCTAATTTGTGATGATGAAATAAATTAAACAGTAAAGTACATTATCCTCATGATTCCTGTAATGAAAGAGTCTTCCTGCCTGCCCCTGTCCCTGGTTCGCTGGGGCCCCTGTACCTGGTTCGCTGGGGCCCCTGTCCCTGGTTCGCTGGGGCCCCTGTACCTGATTTTCTGGTCTGATGAAACCAAGGTTGAACTCTTTGGCCTGAATGCCAAGCGTCACGTCTGGAGGAAACCTGGCACCATCCCTACGGTGAAGCATGGTGGTGGCAGCATCATGCTGTGGGGATGTTTTTCAGCGGCAGGGACAGGGAGACTATTTAGGATTGAGGCAAAGATGAACGGAGCAAAGTACAGAGAGATCCTTGATGAAAACCTGCTCCAGAGCGCTCAGGACCTCAGACTGGGGCGAAGGTTCACCTTCCAACAGGACAACGGCCCAAAGCACACAGCCAAGACAACGCAGGAGTGGCTTCGGGACAAGTCTCTGAATGTATAGCCAGAGCCCGGACTTGAACCCGATCGAACATCTCTGGAGAGACCTGAAAATAGCTGTGCAGCGACGCTCCCCATTCAACCTGACAGAACTTAAGAGGATCTGCAAAGAAGAATGGGAGGAACTCCCCAAATACAGGTGTGCCAAGCTTGTAACGTCATACCCAAGAAGACTCAATGCTGTAATCGCTGCCAAAAGTGCTTCAAAAAAGTACTGAGTAAAGAGTCTGAATACTTATGGAAAGGTCCTAAACGATATAATAACCGCGATCGATAAAAGACAGTACTGTGCAGCCGTCTTCATCGACCTGGCCAAGGCTTTTGACTCTGTCAATCACCGCATTCTTATTGGCAGACAAAATAGCCTTGGTTTCTCAAATGACTGCCTCGCCCGGTTCACCAACTACTTCTCAGATAGAGTTCAATGTGTCAAATCGGAGGGCCTGTTGTCTGGACCTATGGCAGTCTCTATGGGGGTGCCACAGGGTTCAATTCTCGGGCCGACTCTATTCTCTGTGTATATCAGTGATGTCGCTCTTGCTGCTGGTGACTCTCAGATCCACCTCTACGCAGACGACACCATTTTGTATACATCTGGCCCTTCATTGGACACTGTGTTAACAAACCTCCAAACGAGCTTCAATGCCATACAACACTCCTTCTGTGGCCTCCAACTGCTCTTAAACGCTAGTAAAACTAAATGCATGCTCTTCAATCGAACAATGCTTGCACCCGCCCACCCGACTAGAATCACTACTCTCGGCGGGTCTAACTTAGAATATGTGGACAACTACAAATACCTAGGTGTCTGGTTAGACTGTAAACTCTCCTTCCAGACTCACATTAAGCATCTCCAATCCAAAGTTAAATCTAGAATCGGCTTCCTATTTCGCAACAAAGCCTCCTTCACTCATGCTGCTAAACATGCCCTCGTAAAACTGACTATCCTACCGATCCTTGACTTCGGCGATGTCATTTACAAAATAGCCTCCAACACTCTACTCAGCAAATTGGATGTAGTCTATCACAGTGCCATCCGTTTTGTCTCCAAAGCCCCATATACTACCCACCATTGTGACCTGTACGCTCTCGTTGGCTGGCCCTCACTACATATTCGTCGCCAAACCCACTGGCTCCAGGTCATCTATAAATCACTGCTAGGCAAATCCCCGCCTTATCTTAGCTCACTGGTCACCATTGCAACACCCACCCGTAGTATGCGTTCCAGCAGGTATATCTCACTGGTCATCCCCAAAGCCAACACCTCCTTTGGCCGCCATTCCTTCCAGTTCTCTGCTGCCAATGACTGGAACGAATTGCAAAAATCTCTGAAGCTGGAGACAATTATCTCCCTCACGAACTTTAAGCATCAGTTGTCAGAGCACCTTACCGATCACTGCACCTGTACACAGCCCATCTGTAATTAGCCCACCCAACTACCTCATCCCCATATTGTTATTTATTTTGCTCATTTGCACCCCAGTATCTCTATTTGCACATCATCTTCTGCACATCTATCACTCCAGTGTTAACACTAAATTGTAATTATTGTGCACTATGGCCTATTTATTGCCTTACCTCCATAACTTACTACATTTGCACACACTGTATATATATTTTATGTTGTGTTACTTGTTCTCAACTGGCTTACCTGGTTAAATAAAGGTTAAATAAAAAATAAATAAAAATGCAGTATTTCAGTTTTATATTCTAAAAACCTGTTCATGCTTTGTCATTATGGAGTATTGTGTGTAGATTCATGAGGGGGGAAAAAACAATTTAATCTATTTTAGAATAAGGCTGTAACGTAACAAAATGTGGAAAAAGTCAAGGGGTCTGAATTCCTTCCAAATGCACTGTGGCTTGCGAAAGTATTCACCCCCCTTGGCATTTTTCCTATTTTGTTGCCTTACAACCTGGAATTAAAATGGATTTTTGCGGGGGTTGGATCATTTGATTTACACAACATGCCTATCACTTTGAAGATGCAATATATTTTTTTGTTTCCCCTTAAACCACTCGAGTGTTGCTTTAGCAGTATGCTTAGGGTCATTGTCCTGCTGGAAGGTGAACCTCCGTCCCAGTCTCAAATCTCTGGAAGACTGAAACAGGTTTCCCTCAAGAATTTCCCTGTATTTAGCGCCATCCATCATTCCTTCAATTCTGACCAGTTTCCCAGTCCCTGCCGATGAAAAAGATCCTTGGGGTGATGAGAGGTGTTGGGTGTGCACCAGACATAGAGTTTTCCTTGATGGGCAAAAAGCTCAATTTTAGTCTCATCTGACCAGAGTACCTTCTTTCATATGTTTGGGGAGACTCCCACATGCCTTTTGGCGAACAACAAACGTGTCTGCTTATTTTGTTCTTTAAGCAATGGCTTTTTTCTGGCCACTCTTCCGTAAAGCCCAGCTCTGTGGAGTGTACGGCTTAAAGTGGTCCTATGGACAGATACTCCAATCTTTGCAGCTCCTTCAGGGTTATCTTTGGTCTCTTTGTTGCCTCTATGATTAATGCCCTCCTTGCCTGGTCTGTGAGTTTTGGTGGGCGGCTCTCTCTTGGCAGGTTTGTTGTGGTGCCATATTCTTTCCATTTTTTAATAATTTATTTAATGGTGCTCTGTGGGATGTTCAAAGTTTCGGATATTTTTTATAACCCAACCCTGATCTGTACAACTTTGTCCCTGACCTGTTTGGAGAGCTCCTTGGTCTTCATGGTGCCGCTTGCTTGGTGGTGCCCCTTGCTTAGTGGTGTTGCAGACTCTGGGGCCTTTCAGAACAGGTGTATATATACTGAGATCATGTGACAGATCACGTGACACTTAGATTGCACACAGGTGGACTTTATTTAACTAATTATGTGACTTCTGAAGGTAATTGGTTGTACCAGATCTTATTTTAGGGGCTTCATAGCAAAGGGGGTGAATATATATGCACGCAACACTTTTCCGTTATTTATTTTTTAGAATTTCTTGAAACAAGTTATTTATTTCATTTCACTTCACCAATTTGGACTATTTTGTGTATGTCCATTACATGAAATCCAAATAAAAATCAATTTAAATGACAGGTTGTAATGCAACAAAATAGGAAAAACGCCAAGGGTGGTGAATACTTTTGCAAGGCACTGTAGGTCTCATTGGACGGCAGGTTACAACTGCAATGTTTTTTGGACATTATATTTAGTGTTAGATTAATATATTACTACTAGCAGTGGGTATTATATTTAGTGTTAGCGATCTAGCTAATGTGTTTTGAGTTTCTACTTCCTCATGTGGTGAATAAGCTCCTAAATAAATGAGTCTATGATATTAGTGCACATAAAGATCTCTATTGAACAACGACATTCAGAAAATGGCTGGAGCTCTATTTGAACAGCATAATATACCCAGAATGCATCACTGGATTAGGCTGCTCATTAAAATATTTGTATTTACAACATGAAAAGAAACAACTTATTTCTTCACTAAGATCTCAGTAGTCTATAAAGCTGTGAACGACTTTATAAGATGATTTTCTGCTATTGAGTGAAAAAAAATTGGTGCGACCAAATCATGGGCTGGTGCGACCAACTAAAAATGTTAGTCTGGAGCCCTGCTACAGGGGGAAATGTCCTCCGTATTGCAGAAGAGGAACATGTTTCCTAAATAATAATTATTATATTATCATGTTTCCATCTTACTGTATATGGCCTGAAGAAGGGACTGGGCATCCTGTTCCTCTTAGTTTCTGGAAGATTGCTAAATCGCACTGTTTCAAATTGCCCTTTAAGTTTTTGTATTCTGTTTTATAACTGTTTCTAAACTGGCCTGTTCTATCTTCCTGTGAAACAATCTTTAATGGTTCCTGTTATCCCAGGATGTGTGGGGGAGTGGACATGTCCCTGGTATGATCCGTCTTTCTCTGGGTCTACTATCTAGTGATGGGCAGAAGCACCGGACTCATTCCAAGGGCATGTGAAACACCCCATCTATCCTCTTCCACTGTATATAAAATGTCTGTGAGAACAAAGAGCGAGTCAGTTTGGTTTTTCCATGCATGCATGCTCGTAATAAAGCTTTTGTATATTGAGATCGGATGCCTTCTGAGGGGTTTTTCCTCCACAGTATGGGCCCGTTTTTCTCTTGAGACATCTTACATTTAACATTTACATTTACCAGGATCTCTAGTGGCACAGCTAGCACTGTGATGCAGTGCCTTAGACCACTGCGCCACTCGGGAGACATCTTCGTAGGCTAAATTAAGTTTGATCTCTTTTTAATTGTGTGTTACGTATTTTGTTTAAGATAGGCTATAAGTAGGCCTGTTGTAAAATAAATATCAGAATCATATTGCTGTCACATGTTGGGTTCAAGCCTTACAAGGTAATCAATATAGCCTGTTCAAAACGTTAGTGAAGGTTTAAACCAGTGTTTTGTTTCATTATGTTGAGCCATTTTCTTTGGCCAAATTAAGTTCCAACTGTAATGTGTTTGCCGCAATATCCTGCTCGTATTTTCCCTAGAAACAATGGCTTGACTTACTTTGGATATTCCCCTAATAAAGTTTAGATATTTTTTGTGATTGGTGCCTGGTTGTTGGTTGGTGTGGTTTTGTGTGTGGTTTTGGTTTTGTGTGGTTGTCTTGTTTGGTGTGGTTTGGTGTGTGGTGTGTTGGTGTTTGTGTGGTTTGGTGTGTGGTGTGGTTTGTGTGGTTGGTTTGGTTGGTGGGGTGTGTTTTGGTGTGGTTTGTGTGGTGTGGTGTTTTGTGTTGGTTTGTGTGTGTTGTGGTGGTGTGTGGTTTGGTGTGGTTTGGTGTGGTTGTGGTTTGTTGTGTTGTGTGTGGTTTTGTGTGGTGTGGTGTGGTTTGTGTTTGGTTTTTTGTGTGGTGTGGTTGGTGTGGTTTGGTGTGGTGTGTTGGTGTGTGTGGTTTGGTGTGGTGTGGTTTGGTTGTGGTTTTGTTGGTGTGGTGTTGTGTTTGTTGTGGTTGTGGTGTGTGGTTTGTTGTGGTGTGGTTTGGTGTGGTTTGGTTGTTGTGTGTTGGTTTGTGTGTTTTGGTTGTTGGGGGTGTTGGTTTTTGGTGTGGTTTGGTGTGGTGTGTTGGTGTGGTGTTGGTTGTTGGTGTGGTTTGGGTGTGGGTGTGTGTGTGGTTTGGTGTGGTTGGTGTGGTGTTGGTGGGTTTGGTGTGGTTGTGGTTTGGTGTGGTTTGGTTGGTGTGGTTTGGTGTGGTTTGGTTTGGTTTGGTGTGGTGTGGTGTGGTTTGGTGTGGTGTGGTGTGGTGTGGTTTGGTGTGGTTTGGTGTGGTTTGGTGTGGTTATCAGTGTATCATACTGCAGGCCTACGCTATGAGGCGCTCCAACTGACTCCGACAGTTGAACTTGAGAATGTTTTAGGCCCACCAGAGTTACTCCTATAATCTAACAATATAACGCTTATCTTCTAAACAAATATTCTGAAAATTACCAAATTAGCTTCCTTCCGATGCATTTAGTGCTCAAATCTCTGACAGCTTTTAAGAACAAGGCCAATATTCCTCATTTACTGATGGCGCAGGCTGCATGGGGTTACTCACCCTAATGGGGTTACGCACCCTAACGGGGTTACTCACCCTAACGGGGTTACTCACCCTAACGGGGTTACTCACCCTAACGGGGTTACTCACCCTAACGGGGTTACTCACCCTAATGGGGTTACTCACCCTAACGGGGTTACTCACCCTAATGGGGTTACGCACCCTAACGGGGTTACTCACCCTAACGGGGTTACTCACCCTAACGGGGTTACTGACCCTAATGGGGTTACTCACCCTAACGGGGTTACTCACCCTAACGGGGTTACTGACCCTAACGGGGTTACTCACCCTAACGGGGTTACTCACCCTAACGGGGTTACTGACCCTAACGGGGTTACCTACCCTAACGGGGTTACTCACCCTAACGGGGTTACTGACCCTAACGGGGTTACCTACCCTAACGGGGTTACGCACCCTAATGGGGTTACTCACCCTAACGGGGTTACTCACCCTAACGGGGTTACTCACCCTAACGGGGTTACTCACCCTAATGGGGTTACCTACCCTAACGGGGTTACCTACCCTAACAGGGTTACCTACCCTAACGGGGTTACTCACCCTAATGGGGTTACTCACCCTAACGGGGTTACCTACCCTAACGGGGTTACTCACCCTAATGGGGTTACTCACCCTAACGGGGTTACGCACCCTAACGGGGTTACTCACCCTAACGGGGTTACCTACCCTAACGGGGTTACCTACCCTAACGGGGTTACTCACCCTAATGGGGTTACTCACCCTAACGGGGTTACCTACCCTAACGGGGTTACTCACCCTAATGGGGTTACTCACCCTAACGGGGTTACCTACCCTAACGGGGTTACCTACCCTAACGGGGTTACTCACCCTAACGGGGTTACTCACCCTAACGGGGTTACCTACCCTAACGGGGTTACTCACCCTAATGGGGTTACTCACCCTAACGGGGTTACTCACCCTAACAGGGTTACTCACCCTAACGGGGTTACCTACCCTAACGGGGTTACTGACCCTAACGGGGTTACCTACCCTAACGGGGTTACTGACCCTAACGGGGTTACCTACCCTAACGGGGTTACTCACCCTAACGGGGTTACTCACCCTAACGGGGTTACCTACCCTAATGGGGTTACTCACCCTAACGGGGTTACTCACCCTAATGGGGTTACCTACCCTAACGGGGTTACCTACCCTAACGGGGTTACTCACCCTAACGGGGTTACCTACCCTAACGGGGTTACTCACCCTAACGGGGTTACTCACCCTAACGGGGTTACTCACCCTAATGGGGTTACCTACCCTAATGGGGTTACTCACCCTAACGGGGTTACCTACCCTAACGGGGTTACCTACCCTAACGGGGTTACTCACCCTAACGGGGTTACCTACCCTAATGGGGTTACTCACCCTAACGGGGTTACGCACCCTAATGGGGTTACCTACCCTAACGGGGTTACTCACCCTAACGGGGTTACTCACCCCAACGGGGTTACTCACCCTAATGGGGTTACCTACCCTAACGGGGTTACCTACCCTAACGGGGTTACTCACCCCAACGGGGTTACCTACCCTAACGGGGTTACCTACCCTAATGGGGTTACTGACCCTAACGGGGTTACCTACCCTAACGGGGTTACTCACCCTAATGGGGTTACTCACCCTAATGGGGTTACCTACCCTAATGGGGTTACTCACCCCAACGGGGTTACTCACCCTAACGGGGTTACTCACCCTAATGGGGTTACTCACCCTAATGGGGTTACCTACCCTAACGGGGTTACTCACCCTAACGGGGTTACCTACCCTAATGGGGTTACTGACCCTAACGGGGTTACCTACCCTAATGGGGTTACTCACCCTAACGGGGTTACCTACCCTAACGGGGTTACACACCCCAACAGGGTTACCTACCCTAATGGGGTTACCTACCCTAATGGGGTTACTCACCCTAACGGGGTTACGCACCCTAACGGGGTTACTCACCCCAATGCATGTGTATGACCGGTTCATGTCTCAAATGTCTAACACATCAATTAAAATCTTCCCATCAATGATGGTCTGGCGCCAAATTTTCCTAAAGGAAACCCTGGTGTGTGATGGTGTGTGTAATGGTGTGTGTAACGGTGTGTGTAACGGTGTGATGAGTTACCTCCAGAGTTGAGGTACCTCTTCCCGGTGTGTACCGTGGGGTATTTTGGGGCTAATTTCTGGTCAGGCCAACAGAAGCCCTCAGCAGAGAACACCATCCTATGACTCAGTCTGGAAAACTTCCACAACAACTCTTCTGGACCACTGGCAAGGATTACATCATAACTACAGAGGAAGAGGAGGAGAGAGCCTTCATCATCATCATTCCAGGGCCCAGTGTCCCCAACCAACGCCATATTGGATCGACCAGAGAGGGTGGGGCAACAAGTTGTCGGGGCAACACCCAACCACAAACACACACACAGAGATAGCAAAGTTCTCAGGAGTCGGTAGAACAAAGGATCCTTTCAAAGGGAGGAAGAAAGAGGGAGGGAGGAGAGAAGGAGGGAGGAGAGAGGAAGGGAGGAGAGAGGGAGGGAGGAGAGAGGGAGGGAGAGGCAAAGGTAAGGTTTCATCGATTCGACCTTGATGAGGAGGCTGCAAGGAATACTATTCTTTATCTCTGCTACGAGTACTCTATTAGATTTTACAGGTACTAAACTGGCGAGTATAGTCCACTTATCCCTATCGTATGATAGGAGAGAAACACTTTAGGACGAGAAGATATACAAACATATAGTACTGTGACCCACATTATTATGTCGACACACATGATCGTGTAGACAAACATGATATTGCAACACATGATCGTGTAGACAACACATGATAATGTAGACAACACATGATCGTGTAGACAACACATGATAATGTAGACAACACATGATAATGTAGACAACACATGATCGTGTAGGCAACACATGATCGTGTAGACAACACATGATAATGTAGACAACACATGATCGTGTAGAACAACCCCTTATCTTAAACAACACATATGGTGTAGACACACAAAAATTAGAACCCCATGATTTCCAAAACCCTGAAATGTAGACAAACCATTGTTACAGAACCCACCTGTCCACAACATAAAACCATGCCGGTTGTCAAAACCTTAAGCCACAACCTTCTGTCCCCACTGAGAGCCACATTCCCCCCTTCCACCCCTAGACCACCCTACACACAACATCACACCAACCAACCCCAACCATCACACAACCAAACCACCCATCACCAACACCCACCCACCAACCCCACACAACCCACACAACACCACACAAACCCACCCACAACCACACAAAACCCCATCACAAAACCAACAACATCACACCCACCACACACACAACCACACACACACAAAACCAACACACAACCAACACACCAACCCACACAAAACCCAAAACCACACACCAAAACCCCAACACACCAACCCTCACCACAACCATCAAAACAACCCCAAACACACAACCACACCACCAACCACACACAACCACACAACCTCACCCCAACCAACCACACCACACACAACCCCAAACCACCACACACACAACCCCACACCCCCAACCATCAACCACCATCAACCCACCAACACCCCACACCCAACCCCAACCAAAAACACACACAACCACCACAAAACATCACAACCCACACCCCCAAACAAAACACCAACACACAACCATCACCCCAACCACACCACACAACCAACCAACCCACCCAACCCCAAAAACCTCACCACAACCCACACACATCACACAACCACCCACACCAACCCCTCACCACCATCACACAACCAACACACATCACACAACCAACACACAAACCCACCAACACAAAACCCAAACACCATCCACAACCACCCAACCACACCCCCCCCCACACAAAATAACCAACCAACACCAACACACAAACACTCACCAAACCCAAAACCCAAAACACAACACCCCCACACAACCAACCCAACCAACACACACCAACCACACACCACCCCCCACACCCACCCACTCACCAACCACCCCAACCAACACACAACCAACACACAACCAACATGAATATGAAAGAAACACAGTTAGTTCCCAGTGAGTGAGTGGTGTGTGTGTGTGTGTGTGAGAGAGAGAGAGTGTATACCTTAACAGTATAGTTGAACTCTGTGTGTGTGTGTGTGTGTGTGTGTGTGTGTGTGTGTGTGTGTGTGAGAGAGAGAGTGTATACCTTAACAGTATAGTTGAACTCTGTGTGTGTGTGTGTGTTAGTGTGTGTGTGTGTGTGTGTGTGTGAGAGAGAGAGAGTGTATACCTTAACAGTATAGTTGAACTCTTTGCTGGTTCTCATAAAGCGGGAGAAGCCATCAGTGTCCTCCGTAGCTACTGTTATTACCAAGAGATTCTCTAAGGAAAGGAGAGGAGAGGGGGAGGGAGAGAGGGATGGAGGTGGGAGGGAGAGAGGGATGGAGGTGGGAGGGAGAGAGGGAGTGGTGGGAGGGGGGGAGAGAGAGAGAGAAACAGCACAATTAGACCCAACCAAATCATGAGAAAACAAAAAGATTATTACTTGACACATTGGAAAGAATTAACAAAAAAACAGAGCAAACTAGAATACTATTTTGCCCTAAACAGAGAGTACACAGTGGCAGAATACCTGACCACTGTGACTGACCCAAACTTAAGGAAAGCTTTGACTATGTACAGACTCAGTGAGCATAGCCTTGCTATTGAGAAAGGCCGCCGTAGGCAGACCTGGCTCTCAAGAGAAGACAGGCTATGTGCCCACTGCCCACAAAATGAGGTGGAAACTGAGCTGCACTTCCTAACCTCCTGCCAAATGTATGACCATATTAGAGACACATATCTCCCTCAGATTACACAGACCCACAAAGCATTTGAAGACAAAACAATTTTGATAAACTCCCTTATCTACTGGGTGAAAAACCACTGTGTGCCATCACAGCAGCAAGATTTGTGACCTGTTGCCACAAGAAAAGGGCAACCAGTGAAGAACAAACACCATTGTAAATACAACCCATATTTATGTTTATTTATTTTCCCTTTTGTACTTTAACTATTTGCACATCGTTACAACACTGTATATAGACATTATTTTGGAACTTTTGTGAGTGTAATGTAATGTTTATTTATTATCTATTTCACTTTAAT